ATTCAGAAGCTATTTAACTCTGAACTACTGCACAGGATTCAAATTGCTTTTCATACGAGCTTCATTTGAGGGTGACGATTTGGTAAAAACGACCAGTGAAAGAAAAACTCACACACCAATTGAGCCGACAGGACTCAACCCTGTAGCATGACTGATTCATGGAGTGCCACGCAAACATTCAGGGGGGGTGGGCAATAGAGTTACTATTAAACAAACTTTAAACCCATGTTATACGCTAAACATAATTGCATGGCAGTCTATGTAAGGTTATACTAATTATTTGGTGATGCTGTATTGACAATGCTGCACAAAACACAGTTGACACAAAAAACCCCCTCAATATATAATAGGCAACGTCTCAGGCCATTAATTATACATTTTCTTTTAAGGCAGTGTTATTGATGAATGTAGCTATGGGACCTTTTTGCCAGTATCAATATATCATTCAATCCCTTCATAATGGCATTATTCCAGAAAGAGTAAAGCCTTTTTGAAATACTTCAATATTTATGAAAGTGTGGAGGTTTTAAAAAATATACCGAACTGGAGAACTTTTAATATAAACTGCCACTGGTCTATCTTGAACTTCTTTCGCACCGTACGTAGCCAACCGTGCTAATTCATTCATTCCTAATCGGAGGTGTTATATTTTGAACGGGGATGATTCAGTCCCCTCCAGCCCCCCACAGCCGACCATCTTACGGGGGCTGGGCTTAACTCAAACACGGTAGTCATTGTGCATCTGTGTCGTCGAGCAGTAACATCCGGGCTCACAAGCAGTGCATGGGCACATCGTGAGGCTGGTTGGCTTCCACCCAAATCCTACCACCTGCATGGTCAGGTACTTGAGCAAGTGGGATGGGGACTGGTGCTTATATCCCTGGCAGTAGGACCAGGCTATAAAGTTATATAAGTGGGTAAATATATAAATAACCCCCCCTTCCTTTTTCATGGACTAATGAAGCAGTTGCGCAATTGCCCCTGACAGGAGTGTTTTGTTCTCTGTGGCTAGACTTTGAGTGAATTAATGAAGAAAAAGGAACAGCAAGGCTGATTAGAAAAACCTCTGACGAGAACAGAGCAGACAAACAAGTTATTTTACTGATTTCTGGGCTCCAGGCCAGAGGGTAAATTAACAAAAAATAAAAAAAATGGTGGGAAGCTGCAGCAATAAAGGGGGGGAAAATACTTACACGAAAGTTCTTGCAAACCACCTGCTTTTCCTGAAGTGTGAGATAGACATCACTGACCTTTGACCTCATCCCTACCTCCTCAGACCCCTCACACAATAGGCCCCTGATGAACGAGTGCAAATGTCTGCTTCACGCTGGGAGCCAGAGTTCCCGTCCATCACGGTCGAGAAAACATGGAGACCTTGCCCGTTTATTATTATTTCCTTCCGCAACATTTCCGCTTTGCATTGGCCAAATAATCAATGTGGCACACGTGCACTTGTAGACCAGTTTGCACCTACAAAATATGATAATCCATTACTTGACAATGACAAGGCACAGTCCATTGCTGAATTAAGTTCACCCCATTCCATGTCGCGGTCATAAGGTTGTTTGACCATACCTAACCACGTTGGCCCATGTGAGCTCAGGAACGATCCAGATAACGCGCTGATGTTTCCAGGTTTGTAGCGCAGTGCACGAACCACTGTGCCAATACTCCGCCCCATGGATTGTTTGGAAAATCAATAATAAGAACAATAAAACGTTGGCTGTTGAGCAACGGGGTGGGCGGGGGGGGCAAACTCACTTATCAGGCATGTCGCATTATATATATATTTTAATACTGTATCCCAGACCCAGGCAGGAACAAACAACTAAATTAGAGTCCCCGCTGAGGAGTTAGCAGAAGATGGCAATTGTACGTGACCTTGACAAGAGTGTGTGACGTCAGCCATCCCCAGGACTCCTGCAATCTTCGGTTCAGTTGGGTGGGTGGGGTGAGTGGGTGGGTGAAGGGCAGCTACGCTGGTCCTTAATGGGCCAATTCAGACCCGAGGAAATGCCACGACGGAGCCATTCAAGTAGCTCTTCCAAGGGCCTACATCCACACACTCTCTCACACACGAACACACATGCTCGCGTACACAAACAAGCAGTCGAACGGGGGGGCTTTTTTTCTCAAAATGCATTATTAAGTGCAACTTAACTTTCATATCCCTTGGACCTTGAATGAAGGGGACGTTTCATGCAAGCCGCCACTCCCGCCACCTCCCCCAACTGCTTTTTCCTCCACTCCCTAGGGTGGCCATGGCCACTACAGCGGGCTGCCTCCCAGGGTCAGCCTGTCATGCCGACGCACAAAACACCGCCTGTTACCCCGCACTGCACCCCACGCGGCCACGTGTTTGACCGATCCAAATACACAGCCGTGCATTGCTTGCTGTCGCGCATAATTTACGGCCAAAAAATTTAAAGAGTCAAAAGTCAGCGTTTCGTCCGTGTACTGGTGAGCATTGCATGCTGCTTCTCACCATTGACTTTCCTGAGCCAGTGGTGGGATTCCACATTGATATGGTAGGAAACAGTTGTTTTTAGAAAGCGTATGGTGAACTTTGAGTATGGCATATATATGGTGCTTAATTTGTATTGTCATAACTATTTTAAACGTAAACGTTTTTTTTACAGATATATTTTAAATCTTCAGCATGCATGCGAAAGGTACAGGGTTGAAAGTACAGTATGAAAAAAAACCCTTATGTTTTCTCGTAACAATCTGCATGTGGTTAGGTCTTAACATGCATGTAATTACCACAATTTGCTACGGGCCAAAAAAAGATGAACCATGAACAATAGAAGCAGCAGCCAGGGAGGGGGGAGAGAGGTCCTTTTAAAAAGCCATGCCCTCTCTCTCTCCCTACCACATACCTCCTTTGCAATTCCCCACTGCTCGCAACTGAATAAGTTACAATTCTTTATATACCCAAGAAAGCCTAAGTCTCAAGAAGTTTTTTTTTTAAAGAAGGTCCTGCTCTGGAATGTTTGGCAAATTTCTTGGATACTTTTGCATACGTAAGGTACTCGGATACAACCCGTGCATTGTAGGAAGTAAGATGTAAACGCGGTACTGATAAATTAGACACACTTGCTGTGCCAAATCCTGCACGCACGTCGCCAACCTGCAAGGGTGTGTTCCAGGCACAACAAATGCTCTATCTCTGCACGAATCCACCAACCCCATGCCCAAGCCAATGGATAGCAGTGGTGGTCCACACAGCCTGAGCGCACCTGCAATGCCATACATTCTCCTGCTCGACCAGCAAACTTGTTGTGAGCCACCGACACGTTTTGTTGGCTGCATAATAGCCCCAATTATAGCCGGGCTGCCACTCAGCACTAACAAGCAGGGCAGAGCTGCATGCTCGCTGAGAGGTGGATTTGGCGTGTGCGCACAAATGGAGAGGCCTTTTGAGAATGTGTTTTCGTAAAGTTTCAAAAATAATGCTTTTATTTCTTACAATTACACGGCAATTAAATACAACACCGAATGCAGCTTAAAGGAGATTTATCATGCTTAACAAAAAAAGGACAAAGTAGACTGAATGTTAATTTATGAATTATATATTAAATTATTTGTTTAAACAGGGGAAACAAAAAAATAACGGTACAGGGGCAACCACCGCCGAACTGTGAATATACCACTGACGCGTTTCGTGTTCATTTCCTTCCCCCTCTCATTTGTAAGTACCATTAAACGACTGACTTTGCATAAACAGGTAGGTGATCTTCTCCACAGCAACAAGGATAATACCATCCATCCCTCCATCACATTTGGATTTCCCAATTCATTTAAATCCTACTGCACAATTTCCACAGCACGAATCATCGCCTATAGGTTGTTATTCTATTGCAAATACTGGCGAGTGCCTAATGCACCATAGTGCCGTACATTAAAAGGGTTCCTTCATATCATGCATTTAACTAAGGCAGGGTTTCTCAAATTCCTGTTCCCGTGACCCACTGTTCACATTTTCCATGAACACCAATCTTCCCCCCTTCGCCACACTCCCTTCACATACAAGTCGTTCCACGCTGCACGTGTCTGATGATTGGTGAACATGCCCACGTGACGAAGAAAGGGCCAATTCAAATAACAATGGAGATAATGTGCAATTTAAGTTGCATGTGTATGACTCTCATGCAGTCGCAGTGCAGTGGTTAGCGCTCTGTGCTACAAAACCCAGCGACCAGAGTCTGATTCCCGCTCACAGCCAACACCAGGTGACGATTATCTAAACCGGCTGTGGGTCTCCCCGAGGTGGACTCCTCAATTGAGTAACTAGTGCTGTGTGTAAACATCTCATCGAGGGAGACAAAGGCTGTCGGGCGTGTTGCTGGCCACCCACTCCCTCGTGTACCGTGCTGGCCTTCATAGGTGCTAACAGCACTTGTCCCTACGGTCTGTTAAGGCTATAGGGGGATCTTTGTCTTTGTTGTTTGTCTCCCGTGTGAAGTAAAAACCGCTTTTAAGTTGATGCATATCTCAAAATAAGCCCGACTCTGCTGATGAGACACTTCGCGTGGAAACCGGTCCAGAGTTTGCTTGTCTCGAAACAACGCAGCTGAAAACATGCACTCCGAGAAGACTGTGCGACTGATGGGTCGTGTAAGAAATACTTTTACATTTTAACATGGAGAAAGGAATACGTGAACGAGACGTATTGTCTGCCTGCTGTTAATCTGAAGCAGTGTCCTCGACGTCACGTGGGACGCACACACATGACCTCTTATCTTAATTTTAATCGGAGATCTCTCTGTCACGGGGAGCACAAATACAGTGCCGGATTATCCTAGTAGCTAAAGTAGCTACATATGTAGCTACGGGCCCCGCACTTTCAAGGGCCCCGCGCTAAACGCTTTCAAGCTATCAATTCCGGTTCAGTGACTCTGCACTTGCTCCATTACTATAGTACTATACCGCCTTCAACTTTTATGAACGACTGGGTGTTTAAGGTTAGCGATTTGTCGTATTATCTGGCTGTATAGCAAATTAAAAAGTACAATTACTTTACTATGCAAGTTAAATATACGTTTTAATATTAAAGTTTTTTTTTTAAATTTAGGGCCCCTTCATAACATATACTACAGGTCCCGTACTAGCTTAATCCGGTACTGTACAAATGCACGCTCGAAGCACAAACCCATGTCTATCCCAATTTAAGTTGGCCCTCTCTGAATAATGTTTTTACCGATCATCAGGCGCACGCAGCTTGTAAGTGACTTCATTTGTCATTGAACGGAGATCAGTAAACGACGTGGAAGGGCGGACAATGGTGGGTCACCGCGAAACCCCGAACTATGGATTGAGTGGCTGTCGCGCGCAGTCCATCGCCACACTTCTTCCACTGATTGTCTTCATCCTCGGCACGTGTCGTCTCGCCCTCGCGCTTCTTGGGTTTTAGTTTATCGCGCGCCTCACTTCCGGGCGCGCAAAGTGTTTACAGGCGGGCAATGTTAAGTTTCGACGATCGCACCGCCTCGTGCTTTGAAAAGCACTCTGGAGCGGCTGTTGGGGAATCCGGCGGCGGACGCACGCACGGTCGGCGGAAACAGGCGGCCGCGCAGGTTCGTATTGCGAAGAGTCTTCAGCAGCGGATTTTTTTTTACGAGTGCTTCTATGAATAGAAAAGAAAACGCAGAGGAGTGACGCATCCCGGTGACAGCGCCTGCACACGCGGCTCGGTCCATCGCGTCTCAAATGATTCCGCTCTTGTTTCACAAGCTTCGATATTCATTTGTTTTTGTAATAAATTCATTTGCTAATGTTCCGCATCGGTAAAAAGCATGACGTTCGGTCATCGATTCCGAATGCGTAGCCATTCACACAGATATTTCTCTTAAACACAACGAAACAATTGGAATACTGCTGTGGTAATGATTTAGTCCACGAGCGAAAGAGCTCAACCCTGCTATACGTCATAACAAACTTTACAAAAACTTTGCAGCATCCTTTGAAGTTTTCTCGTAAGGCACTGGAGGATCTGAACGGCCGTTTCTCTCAAAGAAGAAAACGTCTCGCGATTGCAAAAAAATGAAATAGTCTAAGTGCATCTTTGGTCTTTGTACGCAGACGATGACAACGGGCGCTGGAGGATTTGCGAGTGGGGGGCTACAGCGGCAAAACGACCCGGAGACAACAAGGAGAGGTTCACGCCGACGCCTTCATCGCATTTCTTGAGCGCCACCGAACAACTTGTGTGCAAGTGGTAAAAACAGACTGAAAACCCAAAGTGACAAACTCTATATTACAACGAAGAAGTTCCTGTAACGTACATAACACACTGTACACAAACTTGCGCATCGTGCATATATATGTGAAAACACACACACACAGATAAACACGAGCACGCACGCACACTTATTTAACGTGTGTACGGGCGTTTTCGCACACGCGCGTGACGCTACACGGTGGTCTCGTTCTTCCAGTGGCCAGTCCGCACGCTGGCCATGCTGTCGGAGCTGAGCAGGCCGATGCTCTGCCGGCTTCCCTGAAGCGCTCCGTTCTGGCTCGCCAGGTTGAGGCCATGCGAGCGCCGCTCCCGCGTGCCCAGCTCGATGGTGATGGTTCTGTCGGATGCCGTAGCCAGTCCTCCTCCTCCTCCTCCTCCCAGCGCCCGGTCCACCGCCTCAGTGGACGAGGGCGAGCGGAGCGGCCACTCTGCCAGCTGGCCCGACCGTCCGCTGCCCTCGTCGCTGCTCCTGCACGGCAGCGTGCTGGCGTTATCACTGCTCTCCTGCTGGCTCAGTCCGGTGGCCGCCGCGCCGGGCCTGGCGTCGACGCCCGTGGCCTGCAGCGCCTCGCTCGAAGCCCTGGCCCTCGCCCGCGTCTTCAGCCGGCACCTGCGGCTCCTGCCGTGGCTCGCGAGCGATGCCGGCGTCGGTGCCGTCGCTCTGGCCACCGGCGCCACCGCGGCCGCCTCCAGGGCCGCCGTGGCGCTGCCGTTGCCGCAGCGGCTGTCCTGGTCGCTGCCGGCCGCAAGAGCGGCACCGCCGACAGCGGCGCGGTCGCTGCTCTCCTCGCCGTCGACGCTGGTCGGCACGTCGTACGCGTACTCGCGCAGCACGGCCAGGCGGCTGGCCCTCTGCTTCTGCGCCTGCGTCTGCTGCTGCCCGTGGGGCAGCGAGCTGCCGCCACCGCCGCCGCTGTTGCCACCCGTCCTGGAGCGGCTGCCGCCTCCGGATCTCGCGCCCGAGTGACGCCCGACGTGCCCATTGCCGCTGGCCCTGTGCTGCCCTCCCTGCACCGCCGCAGACGCTGCGGCTGTCGCGGCCGCCGCCATGGCGCACTCCACGGGAACGACGTGCATATTGAGGTCGCGGTCGATGGAGTGCTCCGTGAGGCTGTTGGCGTCGCAGGGCAAAGGCGCCATCGGTGCCAGGCCTCGGCTCCGCGCCACCTACGGTCGGTGGGATGGCGCAAAGAGGAACACAAAAATATAATTAAACATCTCATTCCATTCGTGTACAACCCTCTGTCAATACGCTGATTAATGAGGGCTTCCCCATCGGTCACAGGGTTTGTTTATCATATCACACTGGTCAGTGCAGGTTGATGAAGGGAGAGGCCAAGAACTGGTTTAATTGTCATTTGCCACAGATGTCAGGTCCGGTGGGTTCTGAACGCAGTTCGCTAACCACCTCATCAACTTTTATCATGGATTTGAACCAAAATCCGAATTCAACTTTTCTGCTGGACATACAACGAGAAACACAACGTTCCACATCGAGATACCGCTCTGGCCACAATGTCGTCCAGTGCGCCATCCGAGTGAAACACACGAGGGCGCATTATCAAAAATCACGGGCAGAGGAAAGCGACGCCACGGCACGCGAGCACAGGTCACAGGTCACCTGCAGGTTGGTGAGCTTGCCGCCGTTGGTTGCGGTCGAGTGGGACTTCTCGGCCACCGACGAATCGCCGCTGCCGCATCCGGTGGCGGGGCCCGAGCCGTTGACGGTGAGCGACGTGCCGGACGGCAGCCTGGAGCCGGGGCCCAGCTGCAGCGTGTAGTCGCGCCCGGGGGCCCGGCGGGGGCAGCGCGCGCGCCAGCGCTGCCACACGTCCCTTCGCCGCGCGCCGTGGTGCGCCAGCAGGAAGAGGCCGAGCGCCGTCGCGGAGGCGGCGTAGAGCGCCGCGTACGCGTGCGACTCGACCCTCCCGTCCCGGCGAGCGACGGCCAGCGCCCCGAAGGCCCAGGCGGCCGTCGCCGCGAGGAACGTGCCGGCCAGCCCCGCGAGGCGCGCCCCCGGCGGCAGCTCGTCCTCCGGCGCCTCGGCCGGCGCCTCGGCCTGCGACGCCGACGCCGAGTCCGTCGCTTCGGGGCGAGCGAGGGCCTGCTCCGGCAGGCTCACCGGGCCAACCAGGCCACGGCCGCCCCGTTCTTTCTCCTCTTCGTTGTTGTCGTCGTCCCTGCCGTTGGCGACGGCGGTGGCGAGGGCGGTGGTGGCGCCGCCGACGGCCTGCGACTCCTTCAGGGCCTCGCGTTTGCATCGAGAGCGCATCCTGCGCAGGCGGGCGAGCGCGCAGGAGAAGTAGATGCACGCGACGGCAGTGACGAAGGCTGCGGGGCCGTAGAAGGCTCCAAGGCTGGGCTCCCACGCCATCCAGCAGCTTCGCAAGTGGAAAGCAAACAATGCGGAGGAACAGGCATCACGAAATGTTTATAAGGTGACCATTAGGCGTGTAAAGATTCAATTAGTGGTTTAGGTTTTTCGTTAACAATTTGAGTGATAAACAATAGTTATTTTCAACGTTGTTGTTAATGTAGTGCTTCTAGTAGTTAATGAGGTTACATCATAGCCTATGTGCCATTTGAAAGGGGTGATTAACATTTTTACATATACAAACTTTGTATGATTGTATTGATTCCCAATGCTATCTCAGTGGTGCTCATGGAATGATGTAATCAGTCAGAATCAATTCAGATACCTTACAAAGCAAGCCAAAACCTCCCGTTCGAAAATGGACCAGAGAAGCAGATATGCCGGAACTACTTCTGAGATCCCTTCAAGTGATCTCTGGTCCGTACGGTAGGGGGACAGCATTTTCCCACTTGCTCTGCCACTGAGAGGAATGTTCTTTGCATGACAGTCAAGCTGATATGTTTCATTCTCAAAGCTGACATTTAGACAACCCAATACTTAGCTTTCATTCTGAACGTAGGTATCGATAATATTCGACGAATCGATCGTCACATTCCTAAGTAACCGCCAGCTTACGGAGGAAAATGTATAATAATTAGTGCACGTTTTTAAACTAAACTTACAACTTTTTTTATTTAACCAGGTAAAGCCCACTGAGCTAAACAGCTCTTTTTCAGAAGTGACCTGGCCACAAATGATAGCTCAACAAAGTGCCTTATCGTGTGGAAATTTATAACAACATAATAATCTAAACGCATGTTTCTAATGTGGAGGGAAAAACCAGAGGACCCGGAGAAAAAAACCACGCCACCACGGGGAGAGAGACATGCAAACGTCAAATATACAGCAGGCGTCAGGGTCTGAATCGAAACCACGACCTCCTGCATACCAAGCAACGTAGTTAACATCTAGCCACCATGTAAGTCGGGCGCAATAGACAATGCTTTCCGTGGAACGCGCATTCCCACGCGACGCCTTGTGCCAGCACGGAGCCACTCACTAGGGAGAGCTGTCGGTGCTGCCGTAGTTTTTGATGTTCGCCGCCGCCGTGATGCCGCATATGATGATGGGAATTCCTCCTCCGATCAGATAAAACCTGAGCAATGCAAAGGGGCACGGTTAACGGGGCGCAATTCAAAGCACCGCTGGCCCTGGTCGACGGCTGCCCGCAACGTGGAACGCGCGCGAAAGATTCTGATTACGAGCGATAGATGTAGCGCTCGCTGGCACGGGCCGTGTTGTGACAGATGGTGGTGCTGCCCGCAGAGTGTGCGGGGGGGGGGGGCGGGAAGGGAGGGAGGGGGGACGGTATCGCTGATAAAGTGGCCCTGTGGCTCAGCTTACACAGAACCAGATTCGGTGCCTTGAACTACAAGCACGGACGGACGGTGTGTAACAACCAGCATTGTAATCACAATCACTTGATTAAACACTTGAATTTGAAAAGGAATTGCTTTGTAAATTAACGTGTCAATTAAATGGAGCATCTAGGAATTGTACAATTGTATTTCTAGAGCTCCTGGGTCATGGGGTATACATGACCATACTTCACCACGCTGATCAGTATGGGTTAGTGAAGGCAAGGAGTACAGATGATGAGATGAGGCAGCATAGAAGTACAGTGCAACAATTACATTTGCTGCACTGCCCTCTGTTGCCGACAACCCCAGAGCTGTTAATTGTTGGTGGCCACCCATTCAAGCACTATCTGGGCTCAACGCTGCTAAGCTACCGAGACTTGATGACAGATTTAACGACACACAAAGGTGTGTTCACGTACAGCTGGAAGACGCAACTCCCATCATGCTTTTGGATGCATATCATTTGACAAAGTACGATGTTCTCAAACAGAGCTGGACGTCTGGTCGGAAGATAGTTAAAAATCTGACAAAATCAGCCAGAATAATCCATTGCAGTGATAATTTAAACTATTTAAAATTTTACCAGGTAAGAAGTGACCTGGCCACAATTGATAGCCCAGCGAAGTCGCTTATCATGTGGAATATCATATCAGTGAAATACTCTAAATGCACATTTCTTAATAGGGAGGGAAAACCCGGAGGACCCGGAGAAAAATCCACACGATCACGGGGAGAACATGCAAACTCCAAATATACAGGTGTCAGGGTCAGGATCTAAACCACGACCTCCTGTATACCAGGCGAGGTAGTTAGCATCCCGCCACCGCGGGATGCTAACTCACCGCTCTGTGAGCAACAGAGCGGTGACGTTGGTGATTTGCTTCGTCTTTGTTGGGGCGAGCTCGCCTCTCCGCCTGCTGCTCGTGGCTCACTTCCCAACGTACCGGAGCATGGGCCGGGGCTGCGGGCCCGGCGCGGCGTCACCGGGCTGGGGCGGCGCCCTCCAGCCACGCAGCTGCTTGCACAGGTTCCGCGCCAGGATTCCAAGCCACAGCAGCGACGCGAGCGATGCGTAGTGCAGCGCGATGCCCACCTGTCGCCCGCGAACGTACGACAATGATGATGACGACGACGCGCGTCAACGGACGGTGCCAGCGTAGCCATCGAGCGAGCGGGCGGCGCGCGACTGTACCAGGGCCCACGGGGCAGAAGGGGCTCAGCCGTCGGGGCTACGACGAGGGACGATATTTGACGAGGGTATCCCCCCCCCCATTTTGCTCCTTTTACCAGCGCCGATGCTGACCGTGCTAGGCCACTGAACGAAGTCTATTGTCCCTCGAGTTGAAGCAAGGATCACGTTGTCAGTACTGCAAAATGTAACCGTGTCTGTCCAGTGCTCGCCGAACGAACACATTATGAAGCCGCACTCATTACACACACAGTGCTTGCCACAAACCACAATACCTTGCTGATATCGTCAACGAGCGTAAACCATCACACAAACTACGGTCATCCTGGCAGTGGCTTTTGGCTAACCGTCGAACAAAGACGGTCACTGCATCGCGCACTTTCAGATGCGCTTCTGCAGCCACCTGGAACGCTCTTCCTTCTGATATTAGGTAGGGCACTGGAGCTATGCACTTTTAAATCTAAATTGAAAACTAATTTTTGCGTTTAGTTCGTTGTCCTTCCCCCGCACCGTACGTAGCACGCTTGGTTACGTACGGTGCGAAAGACGTTTCAACATACAGAGATGCCGTTGTCAATCTCCCGCAGAGAATCACGAGGCATCATGACACACGTGGGTTAGATATCATTCGGAGCAGTGGCTCGAGACCTTAGTTTATTTCCCGGCCACGGTCCCCATCAGCGTTGAGCGGTATCTGAACTGGTCCTGGGCTGCCACCACTTTCACCAAACCGCAAATGACATTCGTGGTGAACTGCGGTCAAACAAACCCCGTGACAGACACAGTGCGTGAGGCCTTCATCTGTATGGCACTTTGGATGAGAGCCTCCCTACACTGCGTGGGGTTTTTGGGGCCTAATCATAATTATCATCATCATTAATTATAGACCAAATTCAATAGTAAACAGCATCTCTCTCTCTCTCTCTCTTTGAAAACATCTTCCACAGGACAAACGAAATGAGAGTGAAAGCCGCGCACGCAGAGAGCGAAATAAAGCCGGACAAACGATCGTGCCCACTCACGGCCTGGCAGACGACGGCGGGCTGCGTGCGGTTGATGCCTCCCGCGAAGATGGCTGTGGCGAGAGCCAGGTGCAGCCACAGGCTCAGCAGCATGTGCCAGCTCTTGTGGCCAACGCGGATCACCCTGAGCACAAGCAAAAACAAAGGGTATGGAACTCTCTCCATGCAGCCTTAAGAATTGACAGCTGGGGCAAGCGCTGTGTCAGCGAGCACCTACGAAGGTCAATGCCGTAGCACGACGGGGTGTGGTGGCCAAGCATCACGCCCGGCCGTCTTTGTCTCCCAGTGGTGATGTTTACAAGTACTCATTGAAAGCCTCGCTGCCCACAACTGATATTGGCCGTGAAGGGGGGTCACCGGGTTCGTCGCACGGTGGCTAACCCTCGACACAATTACCATCCAGACACAGTGACTCACCACTACAAAGACAAAGATTCCCCGTAAAGCCTGAACAGACTGTTGGGGCAAGTGCTGTTAGCGAGTAGCACCTGTGAAGGCCGGTATGGCACACGAGGCGGTGGATGGCCAATACCGTGCCCGGCCGCCTTTGTCTCCCTCGTGGCTATGTTTTACACACTGTACCAGGTACTCATTTTAGACTGAGTCGACCTAGGGGAGGCCTAGGGCCGGTTCAGATAATCGTCATTGATGTTGGCCGTGAGCGGGAATAGAACTCGAGTCGCCGGGTTCATAGCGCAGCTCGCTAACCGCGACACCACCGCTCCCCACACTCACTACTACTACACACACACAGGTACTTATTTTGCCTATGCCTGCCTCTTCATCTGCCAAGTGTCTTAAGTGTAGTATATACAGCGTACAAACGTTGCTATTTTTCAGTGTTCTACCCGTGACGTGTTGGGCGTCTTGAGATGCAGCTACATTTAGACGCAACAAGTTTCTGTACTGGCCAGGGTTTGTGTGCAGCCAATCTGGAGCCCATGTTCCCACAGCCCACTCTGCGGGTGTGGGTCAGTGACAGACCGCTGTGACGAGTGCCGCCCCCTGACCGGACCCGGCGGTGGGGACTCGGGGGGCTCTGTCACCTGGCTCGACAAGAAGGGCAGACGATACGATAATGATAATAATAATACTAAAAATGTAGACACCAAGTGAAGCGGAACTGTGATCGGCACAATCACCCCTTGTACCATCAACAGTGCCACCGCCGCCACTAGCAGACCCACTGCCGCCACCATAATAACTAAGTTCACCATCAGCATTGATGGAAATAATGGATTTATGATGGAGGTGGTTCATGATGATTATTATGAATGACGATTATTGATTCTGATAATGACGATTCATTGACAATATTGGGCTAAGTCGTCTGTACAAAGTGAGTTCGTGAAGCTCCTGGCATCAGGACTTGGCTGAGCAAACACATAGAGACTGGAGCCTAGGGGTGAGGCCATTGCAGCACCTGGGGTGGAGCGGTGGTGGAGCGGTAATCGCATTGCGCTATGAAGTCGGCGACCTGAGTTCGATTCCCGGCCCTGAGTTTGATTCCAGGCCACGGCTAACATAAGTGGCGAGTGATATCTGAAACCGCCCACCCACCCACCCAGTCTCTTCACCCACCCACGAGTAGCCAGGTGAGGAAGGTCACACAACCAAGATGGCCGACATGGTGTGTGGAGGCCTTCATCCAGTGGTGGATTGATGCGTGTGTAGTGACATGGAATGGATCACGACGTAGCATAGCGCGGGTTGCTGGCAGAGAAGGAGATCTGTAGTTGCAGCAGCCCTGTCTGTCAGCAGGTCACGTGATAAGCCAGAGAGAGGGATGTAGGGCAAAGGTGATAGAGGGGGCACGTGAAGTAAGCCCGGGAACCCGCGAGTAGGTTCTAGGAGGGGCGCGTGGCCGGGGCGGAGCGAGGCCACGGCAGGAGTATAAAAGGGGACCCCGAGTGAAGGCTCGGGGCTGCTGCTTGGATTGGAATCCCGTCGGGCTGCTGGAGTCTTCGTCAACCGTCTTCACCTTCTCGGCATCGTTTGTCAGGCAGTCTGCCAGCTGTCCTGACTGAAAGTTGTAGTCATCCCTTTTAACTTGTGAAGGCTGTTAATAAATTGAGTGCATCCACTACACATGGGCTGTATGCTGTAAGTCACAACAATAACAGCATCCTTAGAAAAGCCTCGCCGAGTCTTAAGAATCTTTTTCAGGAGGGTCCTGCCAAGTCTTTGTAGTAGTGGGCGATGGTACTGCTGCTGTATGTAATCCCAATTGAGTAATTAACAGTTACATATTCAGTATTGGATTGTTTTGGCTAATACTAGTTATGTAATATTACATATTTTTTTGGGGCTATAGGTGAAAACTGGAGAATCCAGAGAAAACCCATCAACAACAGTGGGCGAGAGCATACAAGCTCCATGGAGAAAGGCGCCCGATTTAGGAATCGAACTCAGGCCCTTATTAGCTATTTTTATTTTTACCAGGTGTGGCTCACTTTGCTATATAGCTCTTTTTCAGTGACCTGGACACAAATAATAGCTCAACCAAGTGGCTTATCATGTGGAAATTGAGAGCAGCCAAATATTCTAAATGCATTTAAATGTGGAGGGAGAAACCAGAGGACCCAGAGAAAATTCCACGCGACCATGGGGAGAGAAACGCAAACTCCAAATATACAGCAGCAGGTGTCAGAGTTGAGATCGAACCCACGACCTCCTGTATACCAGGCGAGGTAGTTAACATCTCCTAGCCACCGTGATGATGATGACAGAGACACGCAAACTCCAAATATACAGCAGCAGCAGGCGTCAGGGTCGGGATCGAATCCACGACCTCCTGCAGACCAGGCGAGGTAGTTAACATCTCCACTGCACCACCCTGCTGCCCAACAATACCTGCCACAATAACACTCGTGGCATAAACACACAGCAGCAAAGTTTGTCGGCCGCACCTGTGATGCAGGACGTAGGTGGCGATCAGCGCGAGCAGGCACAGCAGCAGCAGGGCCGAGCACACGTACACGGCCGGGTGGAGCAGCCGCACTGCCGCCTGCTCCCCCGCGCCGGCCGCCACCACGTCCTGCGGGCACAAAACGCACGGACGGTCGCGTCTCGTCGGCAAGGCAACGTGTCACTCGTGTCCAAATTCCGGCCGTTTTCGTAGCCCGGCGGCCCTATGACCCTCGCTGGAACGTGGGTTCCTCGGTGCAAATGTACCGTCTACGACACTCACAAGCTGCTCCACTGACTGAGCCCGAGAGGAGCGTTAGTCTGGCTCGATGAGCGCCACGGTTTTTTTAATCAATGAAGTAACATTGGTAGCACGGGCCCTGGTGCTGAGGAATGAAATGGGGTCCCCTGTCTAATCCCTACCCCCCACCTCCCCCAATCGTATCTTGTATCCTGGTGCCTGGTGCCCCTCCAGCCCATGGGCCCTGGTGCCTGGTGCCCCTCCAGCCCATGGGCCCTGGTGCCCCTCCAGCCCATGGGCCCTGGTGCCTGGTGCCCCTCCAGCCCATGGGCCCTGGTGCCTGGTGCCCCTCCAGCCCATGGGCCCTGGTGCCTGGTGCCCCTCCAGCCCATGGGCCCTGGTGCAGTTGCATTGCCTGCACACTCAACAGCTACACAGCGGTAGAGATCACCAACTTCACATCGAGAGCCTTAAGACTCGTATAGACACCAATTGACTTGCACAGAGTCTCACAGACTCGCACCGGGACACAAACGTTTCATGAACAAGAGTGCCCAGGAGGTGGACACCATCCAGAACAACACGCGGTAAGATCCGGAACACACATCGGAGAGAAAACCATTCTAAACTAAAACTATACTATTTGGATTTTACTAGGTAAGGCCCACTGAACTATATACAGTAGCTCTTTTTCAAAAGTGACCTGGCCACAAATGATGGCTCAACGAAGTGGCTTATCTTGTGGAAATTTGTATCAGTCAAATACTATAAACTTGTGTCTATTCTAAATGTGGAGGGAAAAACCGGAGGACCCGGAGAAAAATCCACGCGACCACGGGGAGAACATGCACATTCCAAATATACAGGAGTCAGGGTTGGGATCGAACCCACAAACTCCTGTATACCAGGCGAGGGAGTTAACATCTCGCCACTGTGGCGGGATGTTAACTTACCCACTGTTGTGCCTGGAATTTTGGTGGTGAGTCATCACGCTTGGTGTCCACTCATGGTCACCTGTGGCTAAAAGAAAATATATTTTCGTCACTGATTTCGTTTTTTAAGACGGGGGGCACGCACCATGAGCACGGCGTAGTTGCCGAGGCGGCCGCAGCGCAGGGTAGTGACGTTGCCCTCTGAGCCATCAGGCCGACAGCCCTGCAGGCCCCAGGCTCCGCGCCCGCCCCGGGCCTCGGGGTCCCACAGTGCCGCCACGGGGTCCGTGCCGGGCGAGAAACGGCGCAACGACACGGCCACCCAGTCCACCAGGTCGTCGGCGCCGAGTCCGTCTGCGCGCAGGAGAGGAATCGCGGTGAGGAGCGCGACTGAGATATCGAGTCGTGGACGAGACCCTTCTGTCTTGCCCAACTGTGTTGGCAGTGCTGCATCAGCACAGGTAACGAAAACTCAAAACATTCGTCAAATACACCGGCAATTGCTCTTCATAGCCTGCCTGCTATGCCTTAAATGTCACCTATTCTATGCTTGCTTTTTGTTTTTGTGGCAATGTTATCGATGAACGTGCCGAGTGTCTGAGGACGTTTTTTTAAGGAGGGGAGTTAAGCAGAAATGTTCCTACTTTTTGACTCTGTACATATGCATTTCACACTGCCTAAACGTAAACTGTTTATGTTGTAGATTTAAATGCGTTTGTGTACGTGTCGTTACGTGTGCTTGCTCTGTATGCGTCACTTGACTCCCCGGGACACCCTTGCAAAAGAGATTATCCAGCGAAAATCTATATGTTTTCACGAGATAAAAATTAATAGTTCATGTGTACGTTCACGTCGGCGTTGGTGAGTGAGGGCAGTGGACGGCTCCAGGAGTAGCCTCATGGTGAATATCCCAAACGCTGCCGGCGAATTATCAAAATGGGCTGCGGTGTACTGTGTCGTCCACGATTTGAGATATAAATAGTATAAAGATTCACCGACTTACATAGAGAACGATATACTACTAGTCTATGGCTCCAAAGTCACGTCCCATCTCTAGGCCTACCCCATCCTACCAACCCGGAAAATATTATTCCACCCGGAACACCACATCTAGTATACCTCCCTCTGACGGTGACTACTGTATGGGCCTGCCTCTAGGCCTACTCCGTGCTAACAGTGATGCAGAAAACTCTAAGTGAGAAACGAAGCTGTGGTTACACTGCGAACTGAGCAGCAGAGCAAACAATCGATCCCAACCTAAAACGTACGCACGTTGAACTTCTTTCGCGCCGTACGTAGCCAACCGCGGCCAATCGGCGACGGTGGGGGAAGGGCAACGACTGCAGCCCGCGCGTCGAGCCACCCACCGATGTTGAGGTAGAGCACGGGCGTCACCACTGCCCTGCGCCTGCCGGCGTCGGCCGCGTCGGACGCGTTCCCTGCCGGCGGGAAGAGCCGCCCGTTGCGAAACACCACCAGCTGCAGGAGGCAGGTGTTGTCTCCGGGGCTGCCGGGGAGGGGCGCCGGCGCTCGGGAACCCCAGCCCGTGCCGGGTCCCGCCGGGCCGCCCAGCAGCGTCGGAGGCAGCTGCACCGACGCCTCGGCCACCGTGTTCTGGAAGTGCGGAGCGCCCGACAGAAACGGCGCCCGTAGGGCGTTTCGGCAATGAGTTTCGGCGACGCGTTCACTCGCTACGATGACCCCCCCTCCCCTCTCCTCCACCTGCTCTAACTTCTCAGGTGGATGAGACCAACCAAGAAAGCCACAGATGCCACCGCACCTCGCCAGCTCTTTCTACCCTCCACCAAATCCTACAGGTGCTAGATTTTGCCCTAACGGTATCCCGCCATCTGCTCTTCAAGTCTTCTCTTGCCCTTGGTCACTGGACTCATAGAGACCACTCCGCTGCCTGTGTTTGGCCCTCCCCCAATCCTGCACACATTTCCCACCCAGTGTATTATTAGTATTATTTGTACCAAATCATGTTTGCAATACTCACCTGCACATTGGAACTGTGTACTTGTAAATCTAAATCGAAAACTCATTTACTTAGGAGTGCATTTTTTCTGTTGTTTCTCGCGGGCACCTCCGATTAGCACGGTTGGCTACGCATGGTGGGGAAAGAAGATCAACGTACATAGGTAACATACTGCCATGTCCTCTGCCAGACTTCTGCATCGTTCATCCTGCCTTGCCCTGCGTACGTACATCCTCTGGTGTGTCTGCCTGCCAGTGCCACTACCTTGCCGGGGAAGTGGAGCAGCGAGTGGGTCAGGTTTCCCGCGTTGCACTTGAAGCTGAGCTGCTGGTCAAAGCCGCCGCTGCCGCTGTAGCTTCCGGAGGCGCCGCCGCCGTCGGCGGCGAAGGCCACGGCTTCCCTGCCGGCGCTGTCACGCGGGGCGGTCACCGCGAGCCGGTCGTAGCTCGCCGTCTTGCGGAACGCCGTGCACGTGATGCCCGAGAAGCTGGACGGCTTGATGCGCAGAGCAGTCATCGCGATGTTTGCCGAGAACTGCAGAGGAGGAGGAGGAGGGAGATGGAGTGTGGGATAGCAGTCGTGGGGGCATGCGCGAGGTGACGACTGCTCGCATGCACCTCCGATTAGCACGGTTGGCTACGTATGGTGGTGCGAAAGAAGTTCAACACACATGATGTGTAAATGTACAGTCCTCTGTGTTAGTCTCCTGTTGGACGCGGGCCCTCCAATGGCATGTGAGTACTGCTGCCCACTACTAAGCCCCGCGTCTCCTATTATCGTGGTCACCCATCCCAGCAGAATCCAGGCTCAACCCCGCTCAGCTTTTGAGATCTGATGAGGTCGGGAACACTTGTGTTCTGGGTAGCACTATTGCTCTCCTCTCGCCCGTGTTTCCCTGCCCGGACTTCCCCGGACCCCTTCTACCCTCACGTCAGTGTTTTTGTTGCTTCTAGTTTGTAACGCGTCCTGAGGTGTGATTGCATTTACACGTTAAATATTGTTCTCGTTCATTGGATTTCAAAGTTAAGTTGGGTTGCTTTTGTGGCAGCTCAACTCGGTCAATAGTTGTTGTTGCCTTCCTGGTCTCGTCCGTGGGTTCCCACGCCTCATTCTCTCTCCCTCCCTCTCTCTCTCTCTGAGTGTGATCGAAAAAAACTGTGCATGCTACAAAGTCCCAGTGGCCCAGAATTCCCAGTGGCCCAGAATCGCAGCCCAACCCTGGCAGTAGCTCATCGGTGAGGGAAGGTGTCGCGCGCCCGGCGACCTTATTGAAGTCCTGGGCCCCCCCGAGCAGGGCCTGGCGAGCGAAGCGCTCTACGCTCGCCACGATGCGGCTGCAGGCCCGAGCCTCGGCCTGCGCAGCGCCCAGCACCGCCTCGTCCGCGCCCATCGCGGCGCTCGCCATGTCCACGATCAGCTCGCCGAGCTGCGCGACAAAACAAAGCCAGACGCCGCGGTGAGGGCCACAATGAGTTTTGAGGGGAGCCCAGCAGATTCATGAAATGCGCAGCCTCCAGGCACAGGCAGTCTGCGGCCCTTCAAAGCCACGATCACAAAATACCCCAGAATGCTTTTTCATCCGCACCTTTAAGAAGCAGCACATGTACAGCATTGTCATCTTCGGGGAATATGATTTGCTAGACACGGCTGGTCGAATATTCCCCTTGCTTCCCCACCTGTGAATTTGTTTTGAAGTAGATCACACTATTGTTTTCATCTCTCTGGACTTGTAAGCATCTCTTCAACATTACTGTTTTACACAAAGGGTCATCGTTTTAAACACTTTACTGCGCTATTTTGCTTTGACGGTTCTGAGTCCGTGCTTGGTGGATTTTAAACAAATATAGTCATGTTTATGTTCAATTCTCTCCTTTTGCTGTTTTACTGCCACCCATGTCTGGTGGCAAACACTCAAATGGTATTTACTTTTGTTATTTCAGGCATAGCATTTCAATGTATTTGTATGTGTATGTATGTGTACGTATAGTATGTGTGAGATATGGGATGCACATTGTGAAGAGAGACCTCTCTGTTCCTGTCCGAAAACGCAGTAAACCTCTCCAGCATCTGCGCCACGAACACAACGTCCATCTTGTCGGCGAGGCCTGGCGCTTCCGAGATGCACGGCAGCAGCTGCTGAGCGAGCGTCGGCGCCGTGGTGGCGTTCACCGGCATCTGCGGCGCGAGAAGGAGGAGGTGGAGGGTGAGGAGGGATCCACACTCTCAGAGGAGACCACGAACGAGTGCCACCCGAAAGCAATGGCCTTTTCCAACCTACCCCCAACCCCCTGCGGCCACCTACCCTGGCCTTGTAGTGTACATTAAATGGGGCATCGAATGCCCCCTTCATTTCAAAGAGGACATGACCCAATCAATAAACAGCTCTTATCTTGTATATATGTAGAATGTACATGCCTATGCTGTGTCCTTTGGAAGTCTGACACTGGTTTGAAATTTTGTGAATGATTAAAAAAATAAAGCAGTTGTGGGGGTTGTTTGACCATATTTCACCACGCTGGTCAGTGTGGGTCGGTATAAAGGGTTCGGGAGTTATGGATCGGTTTCAGAATCAAAGGGGCTTTCAGCCGTGGCCAGGAATCAAACTCAGTTGGCCAGGCTTACAGTGCAATTTCGTTTCCCATTGCACCACGGGTCCACCAAAACACATATACAGTATATTAAATCACAGTAGGTAATATATACACATGATTAAAAAAACTTTCTTACAAAGTAAAATCGGTGCAGTTTTCCAAAATCAGTCCAACCTGCGAATATCCCTCCTCCTTATATCAGAATTTTTATCCATCCATCGGTGCAGTTTTCCAAAATCAGTCCAACCTGCGAATATCCCTCCTCCTTATATCAGAATTTTTATCCATCCTAGATAACTGCCCCAGGTACATATACAGTAAAACCTTGGATTGCGAGTAACTTGGTGTGCGAGTGTTTTGCAAGATGAGCAATTTTTTTTTATAAATATTAATTTGATAAACGAGCGAGGTCTTGCCGAGCGTCACGTGATCACAACTGATATACGTTGTGCTTCGATATACGAGTGCTTTGGATTACAAACACGTTTCCGAAAACGAATTATGCTCGCAATCCAAGGTTTTACTGTATATATATTTTTTAAACATGATAAACATACAGTTTGAACATTCCTGGGACTCTCTCTCTCAGTCAGCGATTCGTATTAGCTAGGTCTGTTCCGAAAATATTTCCGAACCCAGCACGCCACATCCGGTCTCTGGGCCTGCTCCAGACTACCGGTCGACCCGTTGCATTCCCAGTGAGGCATCCAGCCCTGGAGCCAGCGCGATTATCGCCTCGGTCAATTGCACGCGTGTGCGTTGACCTTCTTTAGCACCGTACGTAGCCAACCGCGTTCATCGGGAGGTGCGGGGGGAGGACAGCAAACTAAGAGACAAAACAGCTGCGTTTTAAAAAAGAAATGAGTTTTCATGAGGAGGGTAAGGGGGATGGAAGAGGGTGATGATGGTGTGATTGGTGATGAGAATAGTGAGGAGGTTGAGGATAGCAAGCCGAGTGATTATGGTGAGTGGGGCGATGATGGTGGTGATGGTGAGGAGGGCGAGATGGGCGAGTGAGTGGTGCTCACAAGTCACACGAACAAACCTGCATTCCCTGCCTGCGTCTCGTTTCCCAAGTGTTTGGGGAAAAAAAAGTGTTTATTAAATATATATTTAAATAACCTCGCGCAATGTATTCGCTTTTATCTGTTGCAAACTTCAACCGTGCTGACCATCGTCGCTGGCCGCTTGGCATTTTGGGGCCTTTGAGCCTGTGGGGTTTGGCAACCGTCGGTTGGAAAAAAAAAGAAGATCGCACAATGTGTGTGCGAGAACCCATCATTTATTCAAATCACACCCTACATGTATGCATTCAGGCCCATAGCTCAAACAAAACCGCACGAACGAGACGTTCCGTCACGTGAGAAAGCGTTCGCGGCGACCGCCAACGGGGATGCACCTGAGTGAACGTGTGCAGAAGCCGCGTATGCTCGTTGGCGTACTGGCAGCTCGAGTGGTCCCCGTCCACCCACTGCCCTGTACGGTCACACCTCCGCGACGCCACCTGTGCGCCGGGACCACCGCCACCGGAGGAGCCACCGCCGCCGGCAGAGACTGCCGAGCCAGCGAGCCCGACGGATGCTAGCGGCTGGTGGTGGGGGCATGGCAGCGTGGCCGTGATGCCCGCCAGCGTCCGCGGCCACCTGCCAGACATCGGCGCATTTTGTTAACGGACGCGACGCCTTTCACTCCCATTTTTTTCCCACCTGGGACATCCGAGTCGGCGAAGGGCACACACGAATAACGGGCGGTTCGTTTTCCACCGCTGATATTTTTCCCCAAACCGGAGCCAGAACAAAACCCTGGAATTCCGGTATAAACAAAACATCTGAATCTGGCTCGGGTCACGGGGTTTCTCATTTTCAGTCAGACTCGTTTATTGCATTCGACGTAAGGGGCACGGCTCGCGTATTCGCCGGTGGCTAAAACAACACGTCCACCTCCCGAGCTGAACCAGGCTGGCACAGCAGCTCGGCCGTGCAGTGGAAAACGAGAGGCGGAAGGCGACGGGGTGGTGCCACCAGCCGATTGGGCACCTGCCGGGCACGTTCATCGGTTGGCCCCGTCCCTTTGCTGGGCACGGCGCCCGTGCCTCTCTACTGGGTCACAGCTTCGCGTGAGGAATGCATAAAATTGGAAAGCTTTGCGTGCCAGATGTTGAGCGGACATGTGGCGTGAATCACGGCAGGGCATGCCAGCCTCCTAATGCAAACCACCGGTCGTCTCCGGCACGGCTGGCGAAGGGGTACGGCTCTCACCGCTCGGCGCCAAAGAGGCGTTTTGTTTCGTGGATAACGCAGCGGAGTGAAACCAGCCCGATGAGCTTCGTCGTGAATTCTGCCCCCCCCCCCGCACACCACCGTCGCCCCCCCCCCCCCACCCCCAGGAAAGAGAGCGCAAGGTGGCCACCACGAGGCGACAACGGCAGCGCTTGGTTTAGGACTTCCGGACGTGTCTGCTGTGGAGACTTAACAATCCTCCACTTCAAGGACAACCATTTCCTTGGTAGAGAAACATTTGCGCCGTTTACAATGGGGGTTTGTGCGTTTGCATCCACGTTGCGTATGGAGCTGTCACAATTCCTGTACGTGATGGAGCAGTGATGCAGTGGTTGGCGCACCATGGAATGAATATGGCAACTTGAGTTTGATTCTTGGGTAACAATGAGTGGTGAGTGATATCTGAACTGGACCTGTCCCGTTCCCCCTTCCTCATCCACCAACCCCTATTGACCAGCATGGTGAAGTATGGTCAAATAATCCCCATGGCCAATGCAGCGTGGTGAGGCCTTCGTTCATTAGTAGATTAACGAAGGGCTATTATATTCTTGGTTCTTTCGGTAAAGTCACGTAGAAGGGAAACAATAAAATAATAAAAATATAAAACACCTGATGATGATTTCTTGTGTTGCAGTTGAAACGTCGTGAGAATTGTTTTATATTTTTATTATTTTATTGTTTCCCTTCTACGTGACTTTACCGAAAGAACCAAGAATATGAATCCCTGCAGTCACGAAAGCTTTAAATCAAAATTTAAAGGGCTATTAATTATTATTATCATGAACTCATGTACGGCATATTAAAATCGCATAGACGGTTCACGTTTCAAAATTGCATGTTATAACAAGTATCTGATATTGGGGTGCTTAACATTGTGGTTCAGTTGGATCTGAACAAGCCTGCTCGTGACCCACATCTGCTGCTCGTTAGGCCACTCGTTAATGTCTCCATACCTATTAATTCCAGATATGCTCCATAATCCAAATGTGTACTCGGCGGTCAGGCAGGTTATGGTATGGACGGGAGAGAAGCAGAGAGGACGAATCAGAACACATCTGGAAGCTGCCCGCATATCAAAAGAAGACTGTAAAAAAAAGAACGATACAGTAAATAACAGCTCCCAGGTCGCTGCAACCGCGTTTGTTCCACTGCCAAGTCCCACCTACCCCGTCACCTGATGATATGCATTACCCAGAGTGCACTGCGGGTGCTGCCCTCTTCCCTTGCCTTAAAATTGCTCGCAGATGCCCCAAAACAGTATGGAAACTATTACATTTTTTCTCTCTATAAAATAAAAAAAATGTTGTCCCCCCTACCTAAAACCTACCTCTTCATTACCTACATAGTTTATTACGTACGGTGGCTTTTAAGTAAAGCCAGAAGATCGCCCAGAAGGTCATATCGATACTGTAGTAATACTCATGTGCAAAATATCAGGATCATAGGATCATGAGCGACACTGACGGGGCGCCGCTTTGTGGGGGGTGGGGGGGGGGGCATGTCAGTTCATTCTTATTGAGGTCTTCAAATCTTTTATCTACGCATTTGGCTATCAGCAGATGTTAAGCCATTACCAGCACACTGCGCCGGTGCCTGCAACACTCACTTTACTATCACTCCTGTTAAAATGTTGGGTCGGAGCTGGAGTGCGGTGGTCATCACACTCTGCGCTGTAGACCCGGTAAACCTGAGTTAAATTCCTGGCCATGGATAGAAATCCCAGCCATGGCTGTCTGAACCTGTCCCGGACACCTCCTTCACTGAACCACACTGAGCGGCGTGGTGAATCAAGGTAAAACAAACCCCCGTGGCCAACGCAGCATGCGTAGGCCTTTCGCCTAGTCGCTGTAATTTGATAGATATCAACTTAGCCAATGGTCCTACCTTTGGGGAATGATCTAACTTTCTGTCAACCGCAGCTTGTGGCGCCGACGGTTTTCGGGATTGAGCTGTCGTCGTCATCCAACGGGCATTGCCGGCTCGGCCAGAGCTCACGGTCGCGGTTGGGCGCTGCAAGCCGAGCGGGAAAATTTGTCGGAAGCAAGTTACGTTTGTTGGTGCCATGCGAGATGTTAACTACCTCGTCTGGTATACAGGAGGTTGTGGGCTAGATCCCGACCCTGATGCCTTTATATATGGAGTTTGCATGTTCTCCCCATGGTCACGTGGATTTTTCTCTGGGTACTCCACATTTATACTCATGCGTTTTAGAGTATTTGGCTGCTATACATTTCTACGTAATAAGCCGCTTCGTTGAGCTATCATTTGTGGCCAGGTCGCTTCTGAAAAAGAGCTACATAGATCAATGGATCTTACCTGGTAAAATAAAAATAGTTTAATTTGTTCTAGTTTGCCAGGCTGCTGAGCGGGTAGGGCGATCAAACAGGCGATCGAACGGGCGAGTGGACGGGTGGTCGAGCGAGCGAGCGAGCGAGCACCTGAAGTCGCCCTTGTTGTTGAGCAGCCGCTCGGCGGGGCAGTGCAGCGAGGAGTTCTCCAGGACGATGATGTCGACGGCGCGGCTCGCGTTGCCACGCGCGGTGCTCACCACGCACTCCCAACGGCCAGACATCCCCACGCTCACGTCCGGCAGCATGAGCCCACTGTGGGGGAGGGGGGGGGGTAAAGGCGGAGGGGGGGGGGGTAAAGGCGAGCGAGTGAGAGGGGCCGGACAGCCGGGAAGTGGGGGGCCACGAGCGATGAACCGCGCGGGCACAAATTGGGATCGTCCGTTGGCAACGTACGGTGCGAAAGAAGTTCAAAATACATACGTACGTCCATCTTCGTTGTCATTATCATCAGTGCCCTCATCATAGTTGCCATCGTAATCATCAATTTCAAGAAGTAATCATCAACAATGTCACCATTATTGTCATCATCATTGTCATTATCACCAACATCGCCATCTGGCATGATCCTGCGATGATAATAAAAATAATAATAAATGACATTTATAAAGCTCCTCTCTACAAGGAAATAAATATGCCCATGACCAAATAAATGTTTGGCAATGCCACAATTCATTTCACTCCTCCACGTGAGCTCATTTCATCACTCTATCTCCACGGTGGGAGGTCCTTATCCCTGGAGTGTTCTCTTCTTTGGCTGTAATTCTGTCGTCAGGCTTGTCCATCAGGCATCATCCCTCCGGCCAGTGATGCATCCATAACTAAAGCCGACTTACTTTCCTGAACGGAAAACATTTCGCAAGTGATTAAATATTAATACGATGCATCCCTTTCCAAACAGTATGCCAGTCAGGCAAACGAAAGCCTCACATTGGCATTTGCATTTTAAACTAGCGTTCCGGTATGATACTAAACAGATGGCTGTAACGAAAGCTGCGGTCTGTTAAATTAAAAAAACATCAAAAACAGTATTACTGATCATCGACTCTTGCGATTTGCATGTGGTGAGCGATGCCGGGCCAGCGTGAATTGTCGCGATTTGAAGTCGCGATTCGAGGTCACGATTCGCTTGCGACGTCTCGTTTTTTGTGCCTTCTCATTCTTCTTGGAACGTCTCGTTCGTGCGGTTTTGTTTGAGCTATGGGCCTAAATGCACACATGCAGGGTGTGATTTGAATAAATGATGGGTTCTCGCGCACACATGATGCCGTGCACGTATTATGCCATCTATGTATGTTCGTTTAACTTTTTTCGGAGGTGCGGACGAAGAGATGAAGAATAGATCATCGCTCACAGTAGATGGAAGGTGGTGGGGGGGAGGTGCCCAATGCATGGTCCTGCCTCTCAACCCAGTCTGACCCTTGTCCCATGCATGACATCTCACCTGGTTCATGACCCCCCCCCCCCCCCAGCCGTCACCCTTAAACCTGGTTCATGCACCAGGCTGACCTTTATCCGAATCATGACCTTTGAACCCGGCTCACGATCCCGGCTGACCGTTACTTATAGCGCGACCGCCGCCCCCCCCCCCCCCCCTGCTGCCGCCTCCCCTCCTCCACCTCCGCCACCCCGTGACCTCCGACCTGGAGATGAGCGTGCAGTCGTGGACGGTGCTGTTCTCCAGCAGCACGGCGGCTCCGTCCACCACGGCCCCCACGAGGTGCCCGTCGAGGCGCCACTCCATCGTCGTGCTGGCGTCCACCCAGGTAGCGGTGCACTGCAGCGGGAGGCGATCGCCGCGGAACACCACCTGGTTTGACGACGGGATGAGCTGCAGCGTCGGCAGCTCCAGGGGGCCGTCTGCGCCCGTGATTGACGACCGGCGTAGGGGGGAGGGAGGGGAGGGAGGATGCGACCAGCAGGGGCGGGTGGAGGTGGTGGGGGGTGGTTGGGGGACGGGGATGGGGGGGGGGAGTTGCGGGTGGCAGAGAGAGCATAGAAAGAGAGAACGAGAGATACGTGATGAAGTGAGTTTCCCGACTGTCGGAATAGTTCTACGGACCTATAATTGTGTTACATTGCAACCGACTCCGACATTACCTCCCTTCTCACACTCACGTGATATTTCTACTGGACTTTTCAGATCCCATCTGTGGTTTACCCAATAGCCACAGGGTGGCTAAGTCTTTATGTTGAGTTACAGCGACCTTTACTCACTCCCATAGATATCTGTGAGCTACAGCGACCTTTACTCACTCCCATAGAGATCTGTGAGCTACAGCGACCTTCACTCACTCCCATAGAGATCTGTGAGCTACAGCGACCTTCGCTCACTCCCATAGAGATCTGTGAGCTACAGAGACCTTCACTCACTCCCATAGAGATCTGTGAGCTACAGCGACCTTCACTCACTCCCATAGAGATCTGTGAGCTACAGCGACCTTCACTCACTCCCATAGAGATCTGTGAGCTACAGCGACCTCCACTCACTCACATTGAGATCTGTGAGCTACAGCGACCTTCACTCACTCCCATAGAGATCTGTGAGCTACAGCGACCTTCACTCACTCCCATAGAGATCTGTGAGCTACAGCGACCTTCACTCACTCCCATAGAGATCTGTGAGCTACAGAGACCTTCACTCACTCACATAGAGATCTGTGAGCTACAGCGACCTTCACTCACTCCCATAGAGATCTGTGAGCTACAGCGACCTTCACTCACTCCCATAGAGATCTGTGAGCTACAGCGACCTTCACTCACTCCCATAGAGATCTGTGAGCTACAGCGACCTTCACTCACTCCCATAGAGATCTGTGAGCTACAGCGACCTTCACTCACTCACATTGAGATCTGTGAGCTACAGCGACCTTCACTCACTCCCATAGAGATCTGTGAGCTACAGCGACCTTCACTCACTCCCATAGAGATCTGTGAGCTACAGCGACCTTCACTCACTCCCATAGAGATCTGTGAGCTACAGCGACCTTCACTCACTCCCATAGAGATCTGTGAGCTACAGCGACCTTCACTCACTCCCATAGAGATCTGTGAGCTACAGCGACCTTCACTCACTCCCATAGAGATCTGTGAGCTACAGCGACCTTCACTCACTCACATTGAGATCTGTGAGCTACAGCGACCTCCACTCACTCCCATAGAGATCTGTGAGCTACAGCGACCTTCACTCACTCCCATAGAGATCTGTGAGCTACAGCGACCTCCACTCACTCACATTGAGATCTGTGAGCTACAGAGACCTCCACTCACTCCCATAGAGATCTGTGAGCTACAGCGACCTTCACTCACTCCCATAGAGATCTGTGAGCTACAGCGACCTTCACTCACTCCCATAGAGATCTGTGAGCTATGGCGACCTTCACTCACTCCCATAGAGATCTGTGAGCTACAGCGACCTCCACTCACTCCCATAGAGATCTGTGAGCTACAGCGACCTTCACTCACTCACATTGAGATCTGTGAGCTACAGCGACCTCCACTCACTCCCATAGAGATCTGTGAGCTACAGCGACCTTCACTCACTCTCATAGAGATCTGTGAGCTACAGCGACCTTCACTCACTCTCATAGAGATCTGTGAGCTACAGAGACCTCCACTCACTCCCATAGAGATCTGTGAGCTACAGCGACCTTCACTCACTCCCATAGAGATCTGTGAGTTACAGCGACCTTCACTCACTCCCATAGAGATCTGTGAGCTACAGCGACCTTCACTCACTCTCATAGAGATCTGTGAGCTACAGAGACCTCCACTCACTCCCATAGAGATCTGTGAGCTACAGCGACCTTGACTCACTCCCATAGAAACCTGTGAGTTACAGCGACCTTCACTCACTCACATTGAGATCTGTGAGCTACAGCGACCTTCACTCACTCACATTGAGATCTGTGAGCTACAGCGACCTTGACTCACTCCCATAGAGATCTGTGAGCTACAGCGACCTTGACTCACTCCCATAGAGATCTGTGAGCTACAGCGACCTTGACTCACTCCCATAGAGATCTGTGAGCTACAGCGACCTCCACTCACTCACATTGAGATCTGTGAGCTACAGCGACCTTCACTCACTCCCATAGAGATCTGTGAGCTACAGCGACCTCCACTCACTCCCATAGAGATCTGTGAGCTATGGCGACCTTCACTCACTCCCATAGAGATCTGTGAGCTACAGCGACCTTCACTCACTCCCATAGAGATCTGTGAGCTACAGCGACCTTCACTCACTCCCATAGAGATCTGTGAGCTATGGCGACCTTCACTCACTCCCATAGAGATCTGTGAGCTACAGCGACCTTCACTCACTCCCATAGAGATCTGTGAGCTACAGCGACGTCCACTCACTCCCATAGAGATATGTGAGCTACAGCGACCTCCACTCACTCCCATAGAGATTTGTGAGCTACAGCGACCTTCACTCACTCCCATAGAGATCTGTGAGCTACAGAGACCTCCACTCACTCCCATAGAGATCTGTGAGCTACAGCGACCTTGACTCACTCCCATAGAGATCTGTGAGCTACAGCGACCTCCACTCACTCCCATAGAGATCTGTGAGCTACAGCGACCTCCACTCACTCCCATAGAGATCTGTGAGCTACAGCGACCTTCACTCACTCCCATAGAGATCTGTGAGCTACAGCAACCTTCACTCACTCACATTGAGATCTGTGAGCTACAGCGACCTTCACTCACTCCCATAGAAACCTGTGAGTTACAGCAACCTTCACTCACTCCCATTGAGATCTGTGAGCTACAGCGACCTCCACTCACTCACATTGAGATCTGTGAGCTACAGAGACCTCCACTCACTCCCATAGAGATCTGTGAGCTACAGCGACCTTCGCTCACTCCCATAGAGATCTGTGAGCTACAGCGACCTTGACTCACTCCCATAGAGATATGTGAGTTACAGCGACCTTCACTCACTCCCATATAGATCTGTGAGCTACAGCGACCTTCACTCACTCCCATAGAGATATGTGAGCTACAGAGACCTCCACTCACTCACATTGAGATCTGTGAGCTACAGAGACCTCCACTCACTCCCATAGAGATCTGTGAGTTACAGCAACCTTCACTCACTCCCATTGAGATCTGTGAGCTACAGCAACCTTCACTCCCATAGAGATCTGTGAGCTACAGCGACCTTCACTCACTCCCATAGAGATCTGTGAGCTACACCGACCTTCACTCACTCACATAGAGATCTGTGAGCTACAGCGACCTTCACTCACTCCCATAGAGATCTGTGAGCTACAGCGACCTTCACTCACTCCCATAGAGATCTGTGAGCTACAGCGACCTTCACTCACTCCCATAGAGATCTGTGAGCTACAGCGACCTTCACTCACTCCCATAGAGATCTGTGAGCTACAGCAACCTTCACTCCCATAGAGATCTGTGAGCTACAGCGACCTCCACTCACTCCCATAGAGATCTGTGAGCTACAGCGACCTTGACTCACTCCCATAGAGATATGTGAGCTACAGCGACCTTCACTCACTCCCATAGAGATCTGTGAGCTATGGCGACCTTCACTCACTCCCATAGAGATCTGTGAGCTACAGCGACCTTCACTCACTCTCATAGAGATCTGTGAGCTACAGCGACCTTCACTCACTCCCATAGAGATCTGTGAGCTACAGCGACCTTCACTCACTCCCATAGAGATATGTGAGCTACAGCGACCTCCACTCACTCCCATAGAGATATGTGAGCTACAGCGACCTTCACTCACTCCCATAGAGATCTGTGAGCTACAGCGACCTCCACTCACTCCCATAGAGATCTGTGAGCTACAACGACCTTCACTCACTCCCATAGAGATCTGTGAGCTACAGCGACCTTCGCTCACTCCCATAGAGATCTGTGAGCTACAGCGACCTTCACTCACTCCCATTGAGATCTGTGAGCTACAGAGACCTCCACTCACTTCCATAGAGATCTGTGAGCTACAGCGACTTTCACTCACTCCCATAGAGATCTGTGAGCTACAGAGACCTCCACTCACTCCCATAGAGATCTGTGAGCTACAGCGACCTTCACTCACTCCCATTGAGGCCTGTAAGCTACAGCGACGTTCACTCACTCTCAGAGGTCTGTGAGCATGTCCCTGTGCATCTGTGGTCTAAAACTTATTTTTTAAACGAAAAACTACATTATATTATTTTACCAGGTATGGCCCGCTGAGCTGTGTAGCTCTTGTTCAGAAGTAACATGGCCACAAATGATAGCTCAACGAAGTGGCTCGTCACGTGGAAACTACAGCGGCCAAATTCTACCAACGCACGTTGATTCTAAATGTGGAGGGAGAAAACTCGGAGGACCCGGAGAAAAATCCACGCGACCACGGGAAGGGCTACACAAACTTTCAGAGATACAGGCGTGGCGTCAGGGTCGGGATCGAACCCACGATCTCTCCTGCGTTACCAGGCGAGGTAGTTAACATCTCACCTCCGTGGCGCCCTAACCGATGACCACCGGGAACCATTCGCTCGTGGGACACTCGCCACTTACACAGCGTCCGCGTTTGCGCGAGAGAGGGAGCGGAGGGTCCCGGCGACGCGAGCCGACGCCTGCCACAGCGCCACGCGGTTTGTTTGGGGGGGGGGGGCGTCGAGGGCCGAGGTGGGGGGGGCAGCGGGGAAGGGGGGGGGCCCACCGCTGAGACCTGTCAGATGATCCGCGGCCACCCTCGGGGCAAGTGTAGCCAGAGCCTAACCAAAACGTAAACATAAATAATGCTAAGCAAACAAATTGGCGTGGCAAAAGCTAAAAAGAAACAAAATAGGGCAATAAAAACACCGATTTGCTGGTGCGACGTTTCTTGCCGAGACGTTCGCTTGTTTGTTGTTGTTGCCATCGTTGTTGTTGTTATTGTGTTTTTTTTTCATTGTTGTTTAAAGAGACTTATTTATTATTGTGCCACAGTTTGGTGCCCTGAGCCCGTGGCTTTCAAACTAAGCCACGATGATCCCAAATAATCCCGCGTCGCCTCGTCCCAGCTAGTTCTTGGATGAGCCTCACACAAGTACTCACACAAGTACTTACACAAGTACTCACACAAGTACTCACACACACACTCACACACACTCACACAAGTACTCACACACGCACTCACACAAGTACTCACACACTCACACACACTCACAAGTACTCACACACACACTCACACACACTTACACAAGTCCTCACACAAGTACTCACACACTCACACAAGTGCTCACACAAGTACTCACACACACACTCACACAAGTACTCACACACACTCACACACACTCACACAAGTACTCACACAAGTACTCACACACACACTCACACACACTCACACAAGTACTCACACAAGTACTCACACACACTCACACACACTCACACAAGTACTCACACAAGTACTCACACACACTCACACAAGTACTCACACACGTACACACACACGTACTCACACACACACACGTACTCACACACGCACACACACACACGTACTCACACACACGCACACACACACAGCGTACATTCACGCACACACACACACGTACTCACACACGTACTCACACACACACGCACACACACGTACTCACACACACACAGCGTACATTCACGCACACACACACACGTACTCACACACGCACAAGTACTCAGACACACACAGCGTACATTCACAACACACGCGCACACACAAAAAAAGAACAAAGATCCCCCGTATAGCCTTAACAGACTGTAGGGGCAAGTGCTGTTAGCAAACACCTATGAAGGCCGGAACGGTACACGAGGGGGTGGGTGGCCAGCACCACGCCCGACCGCCTTTATCTCCCCAGTGGCAATGTTTTTATCCACCGCACCAGGTACTCATTTTAGGCTGAGTCGACCTAGGGGAGGCCCAGGACCGGTTCAGATAATCGTCACTGGTGTTGGCCGTGAGCGGGAATCGAACCCGGGTCGCCAGGTTCATAGCGCAGCGCGCTAACCGCTACACTATCGCACACACACACACACGTACTCACACACACACGTACTCACACGCACACACACACAGCGTACATTCACGCACACACACACGTACTCACACACACACGTACTCACACACGCACACACACAAGTACTCACACACAGCGTACATTCACACACACGCACACACGCACATACTCACACACACAGCGTACATTCACGCGCACACACACAGCGTACATTCACGCGCACACACACACGCACACACACGCACGTACTCATACACACATACACGTACACACACACACACACGCACACACGCACGTACTCACACACACATACACGCACACACACACTCACACACACATACACGGTCTCACACACACACGTACACACGCACGTACTCACAAACACACATACACGTACTCACACACGCACGTACTCACACACATACACGTACTCACACACACGCACACACGCACGTACTCACACATACACGCACACACACACACGCACTCACACACACATACACGTACTCACACACGTACTCACACACACATACTCACACACACACACACTCACACACACATACACGTACTCACACACACACACGTACTCACACACACACACGTACTCACACACACAAACACGTACAAAAAGACAAAGATCCCCCATATAGCCTTAACAGACTGTAGGGGCAAGTGCTGTTAGCGAGCACCTATGAAGGCCGGAACGGTACACGAGGGGGTGGGTGGCCAGCACCACGCCCGACCTCCTTTGTCTCCCTAGTGGCAATGTTTAAACACTGCACTAGGTACTCATTTGAGGCTGAGTCGACCTAGTCGAGGCTGGGACCGGTTCAGATAATCGTCACTGGTGTTGGCCGTGAGCAGGAATCGAACTCGGGACGCCAGGTTCATAGCGCAGCGCGCTAACCGCTACTCTATCGCTCCCCACGCACACACACATACACGTACTCACACACGTACTCACACACACATACACGTACACACACACACGCACACACACACGCACTCACACACACATACACGTACTCACACACGTACTCACATACACGTACTCACACATACACACGTACCCACACACGAACGCGCGCGCACAACGCAAAACACAAGCATGCGCTAACACAAGCATCCACACGCATATGCATCCACTCAAACGCACACAAAGGCAAAGATCTCCCGTATAGCCTGAAACAGACTGTTGGGGCAAATGCTGTTAGCGAGCACCTATGAAGGCCGGCACGGCAGACGAGGGGGTGGGTGGCCAACACCACGCCCGCCCGCCTTTTTGTCTTCCGAGTGGCGATGTTTGCTACACACCGCACCAGGTACTCAATTTGAGGCTGAGTCGACCTAGGGGAGGTCCAGGACCGGTTCAGACAATCGTCAGTGATGTTGGCCGTGAGCGGGTAGGTTCGGAGCGCAGTGCGCTAACCGCTCCCCATCACAATGACACACACACGCACGTATGCACACACACACATACAGGCACACGTATGCACACACAGACATACACACGTACTCACACCCACACATACACATACTCACACACACATACACACGTACTCACACACACACATACACGTACTCACACACACACATAGTACTCACACACACATACACACGTACTCACACACACACATACACACGTACTCACACACACATACACACGTACTCACACACACGTACTCACACACATACACACGTACTCACACACACACATACACACGTATGCACACACACACGCACGTATGCACACACACATACAGGCACACGTATGGACGAACACACGAGCCAATGCATCTGAGCCACATGTGAAAGTTCAACACTCTCGGGATGCGGGAAGTCTCCACTGATGTTCTGAGACTGCCCCCCCCCCGATCGGGATATGAACTCAAACGTTCTTAATGAGAGTTGAATGCCAACCGTCCCAAACTAACATGTGCATGGTAACAGCGTTGATAGGAAAAATACATTCAACCTGGAGCACCCATCTGGCTAATCCACCGCTGTGTGGATGCCTAACCATGCCGTGCCAGTCATGGGGGCTGTTTAACCATACTTCACCATGCTGGTCAGTGCAGGTTAGTGAAGACGGAGGCGGGTGGGGGCGGGGGCGGTGGCAGGCCTGCTTCAGATATTATTAATTTATTTTTTGTAAGTTTGTCTTGGTCAGTTGGCCAGGATTTGGCAAAACCGAGCCCACTTTTCACCCAGGCAACTGGAAAGCACCGATGAAGTGTTACTAACCTCACATTCAAACTAACAATGCCATAATTTAAGAATTACAGTTTGTCACTTGCTACTGATATTCACCGTGGCCGGGAATCGAACTCGGGTTCTAGTTCCGCTGTGTGCTAACCACTGTGCCACTTCACCACGCTGGTCAAAAAGCAGATTGATCAAGGATGGGAGCATAGATTATGGAGCATAGTACAGTACAAAACTGTTTTTTTGCTGCACGGGCCCCTGCAGCCTACCACGTAGCCCTGCAGGCCCCTTGAGAATGATTTGGTGTACGATGGTTGCTCGTCCGAACGTGCTATCCAAGCTCAACTCTCCTTAGCTTCCCAGATCTGACGAGATGGGGGGGGGGGCATGGCGAGTGAAATGGTTATTGGTACGGGTGCAGCCCTGCAATTGTTTACTGGCAAAAAGGGCATCCACTAGAACCCACATGGTCCTCATTCGCGTATCACATTCATCACTCCACTGTCGGATGAACTTAATCCCCCCGCCCCACACCCTTTTCATTCAGCCCTCAAAGGCCTCCCTCTCAAACTGAATTCAAAACCTCGTAAAAATAAAAATAATAAAAATAATATTAATAAGGTGATGGTGCAGCCTTGCAATTACTCGCGCGTGACACTGTTGGCGAACAGTCCCACCTACACCTCCTGTCTACCAATCGAGGTAGTTAACATCTCGCGACCGCGTCACCCCTATCACGTGGCTACCAGAGAGCTGGGAAATGAAGCGAGGGAGGCACGCACGCAGGCGATGGGCTGACGCGGTCCCGGGGGGCCACCATGCGCCTCCGATTGGCATGGTTGGCTGCGCTTGGTGCAAACAAAGTTAAACACACAATACGTTTATAAATGTGGAGGGGGGAAAATCTGAGGACCCGGACGAAAAAAAACAAGCCACATGGCCACTGGAAGAGAGATGCAAACTCCAAGAATGCAGGCGTCAAGGTCGGCGAGGTAATTAACATCTCGCTCACCACGGCACCCCATCGCGTGGCCATCGGAGAGCCGGGGAATACTCAACCAGATATGATTGCCCTGCAATGGAGGCACGCACGCACGCACAGGGCGATGGCGCGCCGCGCGGAGGAGGGAGCACAAGAGGTGTCCCTTTGGACGCAATGCTGGCAGGGTCAGAGTGGCTCAAGGTGAGCGAGTTAACATCTCGTCACGGTGGCGCGCCGGGCGGACAGAGGCTGTGGGGAGAGCTCAAGAAGCGTTCCGCTCTGTCTCAACTGCCGCGCCGCCGGGTGACCCAATGGGACTGGCGGCCTCTGGATTGCAAGCCCAGAGGTTGCCGGCGCTAGGAAGTGCACCGGGGGCAGCACCCGCGTCGTGTAAACCGTGCGCGTCGGGGGAAGGGGGGGGGGGCGGGCACGGGAGGTGCTCACCGCAGCTGAGCTGCGTCTCCTGCAGCGCTCGCAAGGGGAGTCCGCGGAGCGCGCGGGGGTAGGGGCAGCGCGTGGGCTCCGACAGGCGCACCGAGCGGTTGCGCAGGTGCCCGGGAAGCCAGCGCAGCCCGCAGTCGCACAGCAACCACTCGCTCTCAAACTCCCTGCGGTGGGGGGGGGGGGGGTGGAGAGGATGGAATGGGAGGGAACGCACAGGAGCGGTTCGTCAATGTCAGAGGTGGTGCCGGGCAATAAGAGCTCATCTGTAGCACGTTGCAGGTCACGGCACTTCTCTTTCTGGTTCATCCCTCGCACTGCTCTAAAGTATAACTCCCTCCTGTCGTATTTTTCTCCCCAAGTTGTTACAATGACCTTGCCCAATGGAAGACGCGCGTCAGCTCTCATCAATTAACGCCTTCAGTTGTCCGCCGATTGGCAATTTGGGCCTTTGGGCCTGTGGCCTAGCAACCGTGGTTGAATAATAAAAAAACAAAGCAATTAAATGAATAATCTCAATTAACGAATGATCACGCGATGGCGTCAATAAGGGCGTCGGTTTATGACGCCGATGACCTCTGCGACGCTGACCGCTGGCTGCTCTGTGACAAAGAGTGCTGGTGGCGTCGGAGAGGCGAGCGAGCGAGCGAGCGGTCGTGGTTGTCTAAACGTCGACGACACCTTTCGCAATTTACAAGTCCTCGCCAATTAAGGTCTGGCCAGGGCTTAATTTCAGCCAGATCAGCAACCCGGAAAACACCACATCCAGTATACCACCACCACCCCCCCCCCTCCCCACCTTTCTCTCTGTGACTGTGGCTACTCGTCACGTGTAGAACCTATTCCAGCAGACTTACCAGCGGCCCGGAAAACATTCAGTGAGAAACGGAGCTCTGGTCAAGGCGCGCGCGTGTACGCGAGCGTCATCAGAATCAGAATCTTTTTTTATACTGTGGGAGGAATCCGATGGGCTCTGGAGCTTTTTCTCACAGATGTCCAATCGGGGCGGGTCATAAAGTGACCACAACAAACAATAACAAACATGTGATAGGAGTGCAAAGTATAGGAAATGGAAGAAACTCACGAAGCAAATGTTTTACTTTACTAGGCAAAGCCCACGAAGCGATTGGATTCTTTTTCTGAAGTGTACGTGCTGCCACTCGCGTGGTAGAGGCGGTCGGCCTGTTTAAGATTACGCGGACACAGAGTAAGATGTTAACTACCTCACCTGATGAACAGGAGGTCGTGGGTTCAATCCTGACTTTGACGACCGTATATGTGGAGTTTGCATGTCTCTCTCCCCATGGTCGCGTGGAGTTTTCTCAGTTTTTCTCTCCACATTTAGAATCATGCGTTTAAGAGTATTTGGCTGATATACAGTTACACGTGATAAGCCACTTCGTTGAGTTATAATTTATTATAGCCAAGTCGCTTCTGAAAAAGAGATGCATATCTCGGTGGGCCTTTACCTGGTGAAATAAAAGCAGTTTAATAATTTTATAGTGTATTCTTGAATGCGGTAAACCCGCTTCGGAAATATATTCTGGGTCACTGCTTAGTTGGAGGTGGCACATGACTCGTCGTGGCTATGGTGAAGGCGAGAGACACCCTTGATACGATGTGCTGGGCGGCGGAAACACATCCTGGGTCGCCGACATCGACAGACCCGGCTGAAATTAAAGCCTCGCCTTGTGCCGTCGTGGTTTCCAGAAGCCAACTTTATTCGTGTTTCCGGCCCGCCCCCCCTCCCCCGGTTTATTTTCCTGCGTTGCGGTCTTCAGCGACACGGAGAGCCCTGGGCGACTGATCTGAAGCCCATTTGTGATAGCCAGGTCGCTTCTGACAAAGACCTACATAGCTCAGTGGGCCTTACCCGGTAAAATAGAAAATCGTTTCTTTTAGCGAGTGGGCAAAACGCGAGGATCCACGCGACCACGCACGGGCGAGACAGACGCTCCCAAATTGGTTCGATGTTTTCTTTTTGGTCCCTTGTAGACGGCAAAGCATAACGTTTCAATTCTGGCCTTCCAAACGGGGGCTAAAAAACACCCGTTATCCCTAATGGGTTACCGCTGGGCACGTGGGTGCGGAAGGGACTCGCCGTGCTTGTGTATCGATTAAACCGTCGGCAGCTTCAAAGTGCGGCCGCCCAGCACCTGCTGGGAATTGCACAGAGCGCGGAAGAATTCGGCCCTTTCAAACGAACCGCGGCTCCAACCTTGGCCTCGGTTGAAAACAGCTCGGTGCGCCACCCCTGGAGGCGAACGGGGGGGGGGGGGGGGGGGGGGGGGGGGGGGGGGGGGGCCCGAGATATTTTGGCACCGGCTCTGAGGATTAAGGCTCCTTCGTCGGCCATAGGAAAAATAAAGTGCGTTTAACACTACATGTGTTCCACATTTCCGATTGGTTGTGTGTGTCAGAGTCTCTCTCTCTCTCGAGTTGCTCACAAATTGGGATTTGAGTGGCCGCAGCTGATTTGTAAACAGGATTAAACACCGTCGTCATGTTAATTACCAGCCACCAACGTCATATTCGTCTACCACCTCCTCTTCCACTATTTCCTCTTCATTTTGTTCCTCTTAATATCATTATCATCTACCTACTCACACACACACACACACCTATCAATCACCATCAGCGTCTATGCCATCATCGTCATTAACGAGCACCATTGTAATCGCCAACACTTCCATCAATCGCCGCGTCCGTCATCGCAAAGCATCACCCGCAGTCATCGCACAACCGCCGCTTTGCCGAACGAGACCCAATGGGGTGCCGTGGTGAGCGAGACGGACGTCGCCGTGCGGAGGGGCGCGCAACAAGACGAAACAAAAGGAAACGTCAACATTAAACAGGAACACTGCCCAGGGCCAGGCGAAGCACGCAGCAGCGGCAGCAGTGGTACAACAGCGGCAGCGGTGGCGACGGACGACGAGGAATCTCGTGCGCCGCCTCCGCCCTCAAATTCTCAAAACCCTCCACCGTCGCCGCAGCCGCCGCCAGCCAAACTTAGCTCCCCGTCAGCCACCCGGTGCCACGCGGAGCCCCCAGACACGCACGTGCACGCGCGCACGCGCAGGAAAATGCACGTGCGCATGCACGCAAAGATCCCCCGTGAGTGGGCATCGAACTTGAGTCGCCGAAGTGTACGGGGCTAACCGCTACAATACCGCTCCTCACAAACACGCGTGCAAACACAAAGACGCGTACATGCACGCGTGCACACACGCATGCATACAAACATATACACGTACACGCGCGCGAGCGCTTGGGTCCACTCGTGCCAAATATGGCGTGGCGCGTAATGGTCAGCAGCTGCCGCTGCCGGGACCGGCCGCGTGTCGGAACGAGCGGTGTCTGCGTGTTCATCGTAAAAAAAAAAAAATACCTGAGGATTGGCTGCAATTTCGTGCCACGGATTCCGTGTGTGAGAAATTTACCGCGCTTGTGTGCGTGCGTGCGTGCATAGCAATTAGCGCGGTGTGCTACGAACCCGGCTACCCGAGTTCGATTCCCGCTCACGGCCAACACCAGCGCTGATTATCCGAACCGGTCCTGCGCCTCCCCTTGGTCGACTCAGCCCTAAACATCGACACTTTTGAGATAAAGGCGGCTGGGCATGGTGGTGGTCACCCACTCCCTCGTGTGTTGTGCCGGCCTTCATGGGTGCTTGCTAAACAGCACTTGCCGCAACAGTCTGCTAAGGCTTTACGGGGCATTTACGTCCTTTTTTTTACATTTACCGTATCTTGCACCGAAATATGCCGCGTGATAACGATCATCGGGCGTGATTACCAGTGCTTCAGCAAGGGCCAGCAGCTGGGAGCTTCACTTGACGTATTAATCGCTCATCTCTGCGCTGCATTATTTCTCGTGCCGGGAAAGGGTTACAATAACAGCAAGAGAAAGGGACCGATTCTGCAGTGCGAAGCACAAAAGGGGGTTAAACAAACAGTCTAAGTCCAGAGTAGAACGCAATGTTGACTCGCAGGCGGAAGACGGAGAGAAAATATCTGGCCACTGAGAGTCTGGGGCTAACCCTGGTGTTCTCATCTTTGGCAAGAGAGACAATCTTTCTCCTTTGGCCAAAGCGGCTATTGAACAAAAAAAAAACATAAATTATGTTTATTATTGCAGCGCCATGCTCCAACTCACCCCATGTTTGGGTTTCAGGCCGTGGAAGATGTATTTCTTTTAAACGTTTAATGATAGTAATAATAATAATAATTAAAAAAGTGGGACTCCTAAATCACGGTGCACTGGAAGTTCCTGGGGCACTTGGTTCGTCTCTGAGCCGGAGTGTGATCGGTGTGGCTGACCGGTGTCAGGTTGGTGCCGCCGCATGGCTGTTACTATGCCACCGTTCCCCACGTGACACTCGACTGCCGTGGCCTTCTCAGCTGCGGTGGAAACGCAGCGCCGTGGCCGCACACTGAGAATGTTTCTCAAGTTGCAGCTGCTGCCGCTGGAACTGTGCCTGTTATCACCTCAAGCCTCTGGCAATATCGCCCAGAAGCCACTCCGGCAGCCTTCACTCAAGGTTTTCCAGATGAAATTTTTCTTGGTACATTCTGTTCTCCGATAGAGCAGTTTTAGTTACATTCCTGAAGAACACCGCGTTATGGAAAAATCGCGTTATAATATGTAATAATGGGTAAAGCACAGTCCGCGAGAGCACGTGAGATGCGAATGCAGATTTGAACAAAGGCTGAGGCGCGTGGGTAGCATTTAGAAGCATCCAGCAGCATCCCGCCTTGTGTGATGTTACGTCGAGGCAGCCATACAACCGTTTATTTGTACTCGCGCGACGTAGTTCTGTTCACTCGATCGCGATATATCGAATTCGCATCACCGTTACAACAAAAAAATTCTTCCCGAATACATTTATCGTGTTAGATCGAATTCGCGCGATGAAAACAACATGGAGTTATAGGAGGACAGAATTTACTTTGCAGCGCTAAGTTAAAGATTCCATGACCGAATCACCCGCAATGCACCAGCAGTCACGTCTGATGTCACAGACCAAGAAGAGTGGAGCCTGAGCAGCACTTGCGAGGGAGACTGTCTCGGAATGCCGGGCGTTGTAGGCTCGGGCAACGCGGTGGCTAAAATATGGCAGCGCATCAATGGATTCCTGAATCTATCTGGAGCAGAGCTTTGAGTGCTACCAGCTCGGGGCTGGAAACCCGGGAAAGAGGAGCGTCAGAGCAAAGAGCGTCCGAGCGCTTCAAGATCTTCCAGCTTGAATTGAACGTCCGTGTCGATGTTGTCTCCGCTGCCCCTTTGCACGCGCGAGTTTTCTCCGGGTGCAGCGAGCTTCCTCCCACATCACGCACGCTCGTAAAATGCATTTGGCCGAACATCCCAAACACGGGAGAGGCTCCGGAAGAAGAGCGTGAAGGCTCAGGGAGGCTTTCCCGTGCGCCGTCGCCCGCACCACCGCTCTTGAGCAAGCGCCGGGTGTTTTAATTTAATTCGGAGCCATTTGGGTTTGTCACGCGGGGACTGCGTTAGCCAGCGCCCAGCCACACGGACTCCGTCACGCGTCAGAACCCGAGCCGCGATGTCCAAAGAGCCGTGATTAAAAACAGAACCGCAGAAACGGGGCGGCACAGCTGCGGAGGATCGCTTTACGAAAGCGCAATTAACTAGGCGGGGATCGCCGGAGCGAGTAGCAAAGAAATAAATAATAATAATAAACGCAACGACTATGAAGATTAATCTGGCTCCGCCTGGATCGTGCTCCAAGGGGATGGCTCATGGAATACCTGGCACCCTGCGCACATGCGGTGGAAAATATCCTCGCCAAGCCAACTCTTGCGTGACCACGGACCGCCGCGACGATCTATACACAACCCCTCCCCTTTACACACGCACCCCACACGCACGCACCCCACACACAAAGACAAAAATCCCCCGTATAGCCTGAACAGACTGTTGGGGAAAGTGTTGTTAGCGAGCACCTATGAAGGCCGGCACGGCACACGAGGGGGTGGGTGGACAACACCACGCCCGGCCACCATTGTCTCCCTAGCGGTGATGTTTACACAACACTCCAGGTACTCATTTGAGGCTGAATCGACCTAGGGGAGGCCATGTTCAGATAATCGTCGCTGGTGTTGGCCGTGAGCGGGAATCGAACTCGGGTCGCTGGGTTCGTAGCGCGGCGCGCTCACTGCTACACACACACACACAGGCCTCCCTCCTACACACACACATGCACCCCACACACACAACCCGCCCCCCCCCCCCCCACCGGGTGCCGGCCCCCCGGTGCGGTGGGCTTCGGCGAATGCGGCTGCTGGCACGGTGTGGACAAGTGAGGTCCTCTCCCGAGCGGCGGTGTCTTCACCTGCCAGAGTGGCGAGTGACGGCAGGGCTGGGGCGGTCGGAGCGACTCTCTTTGTAGCGCTAATGAGGGATCTGCTTTTGCACGTGCCACTGGGCACTAAAGGATTTACAAGTTTCGGGTGTTGATACATTTAGATATATTTTTAAAAACCACGATTATTTCACCATGCCGGTCGTGATGGACTGATGAATCATTGTGGACTGGTGAAGCCGGGATGCTCAGGGCCATGTCGGATGCATCGCTCGCCACTGATGTTATCCGTGGCCAGACACTGAATTCGGATTTCCCAAGCAGACAACACCGATAATATTCGTGTCAAATCTACTCAGCAGGCTCAAGGCAGCTTAGCTGCTGATATCTGATGGGCGCAGGCGCTTTCAGGGTGATCTGATCACCTGAAATGTCCTGTAACTGCCGCCTCTGCCGGCGGCCTTGGGCTGTGGTCGTCCTCGTAACAGAGCTGTGGTCGCTCAATGGAGCCTTATCAGCTGATATATAGTTATGATGATAGGCAGTAGATGGCACAGTTTTGAAATTCCCTGGAGAAAAATAATAATAATAATAACATATATATGGGCGGCTCAGCTCAGGGCACTGAACCGCTGAATCGATGAAACCTGGCTCAATGGTGATCGCACCGAGCATCGCCGAGCCGTGCGCTGGGTCGTGTCCTTCCCCTTCAACTCCGATTCGCACGGCTGGCTATGCACGGTGCAAAAGAACTTCGACGTACACGCAAGCTGCACGCGTGCGTGTGCGTGCGAAACGCACGTTCGTATTGTTGTAATTACTGCGTGCCAGAGTCCAATTTTCAGAGCTGGATGGGACGAAAGTGAAAGCCAGCAAAATCCATTTGAGAAGTCACTGCCCAAAGGATTTTTGCGGTTTTCATCTGGACACGGGGTATATATATATATCTTTTATTCCAGCCCTGATCCAAATAACCATACTCGGGCCAATCCATCTGCTTTCAATAAGCGTGAGTGGGGGGGGGGGGGGGGGGGGGGGAGCAGCTGCGATGTGACTGCATGGCTCCGTTTTTACCCAGGGAGATCGGCGTTCAGGATCGGTGCTCCGGACCGACTCGGAGGGAGTCACCAGGGTCGGGTTCCCCTGAACACGTGACCCCCAGCCGTGCCCGTCCGTCCGTCCGCCCTCCCGCCCACCGACACAGCCACCCTCGGTGTAACCGCACTCGCTCGTGTTTATAGAATTACACCGGGGGTGGGGAGGGTGGCGGGCGGGGGTCATTTTTTACAGGTCATTTTGATCAAACGACGATTCCGTGGGGAGAACGCCGCTTAAACCTGTTCAGAAATAAGTGAATTACGTCGTGGCTTTTCTTCGTGCCGTTCTCCTGCCGAGCGCTGCGGAGAGGGGTGAAATGCAATACTCTCGGAAGGTACCACCACCGCTGGCTCCGCTTTGCACATTTGCGAGGCTGAAAGGCGGAGCAGTAAATTCCAGGAAGTAGACTTTATACCGGGCCACATGTGCGGCGAGGTTTAGCGGTAAAACGGGCCGAGCATTCGGCCCCGCTCTGCACCACCGTGCCTGCTATCTGGGCGTGCGTTATGACTTCCAATGGTTTCCGTTTCGTGCGGTTGTAAATTACTGGGGCTGCCTCTTAACTGTAGATAAGGGTATGTAAGATGGAGCGATGAGATAAGCTCATGTGTATGAGCGAGATAGGGAAAGCCATACTGGAACGTGAACGGTGGTGATGGCGTGGGGTGGCTTTCATCCAGTAGGGGAAAGACAATGGATTATTAAGATGATTATTAACAGGTAGTTTGGAGGTTCAGTGCAGCGAGCTCGATTGGGTATCAGCCCGGTCATCAATGACCACAAAAAAAACAAGCTTGGTTTAGACATGAATTTGACCTTTTCACAGAGCTTATTCAGTGGACAGACACGGGCACAGCAATTCGCTCAACTGCACAACTGATGGAAAACAGAAGCCAGGCTCTGCGAGGATATAAGAAAGGCCCTTAAAGGATGTCAGGAGCAGCAGGAGGAGAAGGAGGCCTCTGCTGTCTCTTTCGGGTCAATCTCTCGATGCAAAGCATTGCTCTGTTTCGTCGGGAGGTTCGGAAAAGGAAAAAGGCATCGCTCTGCCCCCGGACGCGGGTCTATAATCGGGGTAAGAATCGTAAGACGAAAATAAAAGGCAGGTGCGCAAATAGCCGTCGCGCGGGCACGCACGTCGGCTCCCGTTGGTCACGACGAAGGGCGGGGAGCAGGAAGTACTCACAGGAACTTGAGGCCTTGAAGGACGTCCAGGGTCCCTTGGGGGATCGTGTTAAAAATGTTCCCGGACAGATTCCTGCGATAAAAAAAGCACACACACACACACAGCCGCAAAAAATAACAACAAAATGGCATTAAAATGGCACCGTGCACTCACTGCAGAAGTAGGAAAAAAATTCAAAGGTGAATGGAAAGCGCAAGACCCATTATCGGTGAAAGAAATGCGTCGGCGTGGTGTGTGTAGGGGTCAGCGCAGTTGAAATTGTGGCGAACTGACCACGAAACAAAAGAATTACAACCGGAGTTGCCCGGGATGGCTCAGAATACAGCGACGTGTTGGCACGCTGCACCGGCACCGGTGACATTCTGGGTTTCAAACTGGGGTTCAGCCACCGGTGAAATACACCGGGTCACCAACTACAATCAGTCGATGGGCTCAGCCCCCCCCGATCACCATCAATGACTGCATACAACAACAACAAATCCAATCGCGTTCTGGCAAAACCCATTCAACGTAGCTGGTAATGGCCAAACATCGCACTGCTGAAAAAATTTAGCTGCACAATTACTCGATTGGGATTACAAGCAGAAACATCGCCCCCCCCCCCCCTACTGGGAAAGCTTGGCAGGACCTTCCTGCAAAAAGAGTCTTGAGACTCAGTGAGTAGTAATAATAATAATTCACTATGTAACACGATTTTTTTGTCTCTGGGTAGTAAGTGTTATTTTTTTATATTCTTATGCCTAAAAAGTAAAGACTTTATGTGAAGGAATGACACAAATGCACACCACGTTTTTTCATTGAAAATAGGTAAATTTAAAAATTTCACTGTCCCGGTCACAAACGCAAAGTTTGTGGGGAACAATAGCCATTTTCTGTACGTTTGAAGCATAAGCAATTAGGAAATAACACTTACTAGCCAGGGACAAAAAAATGTTTTGTTACACAGTGTAATGTTGTATAGTTTCTTCAGGGTTTTCCCTTCACATCGTTAGTTTTTTATGGTTTATAAAACCCACTTTTCCTCCCACTGTATTTTAAACCAAAACATAAAATGGGGAGGTGGGGGTTGTTGTATAATCCTGTCATCATTCACGCGTGTGTACACGTGACCATATTTGCAAAAACTTTATCGACACTTGCCAAAAGATTTGGGGTGCATCTCATAATCTGGAGATTACCAAAATATTTCAGCCTCCGTCCTTCGATTTTGGTGCATGTACAGACAGAAAAATGGCTTGGGAGAGGAGGCCTCGATGCAGTGATCCAGCGGTGAATAGAACACGATGATGACAATAACTATGGTGGAGCAAGGATGAGAGTGGTCGGACCGGCACCGTGTGACTCCACGCGCGCGGGTCGCTCGCGATGCCCCGGGTTACCGCAGGGCGTGCCGCGGCCTCTGCCACGTGTTTTGTCGTGGGGGTTTTTGTTTTTCTTTCTTCCCTCCCCCCTTCCCTTCGCCTGGCGGAGGAACGCGAGGAACGCCCGTCCGGCTGCAGCCCCTCCGCGGAGTCGGCACAAATGAGGGCCAAGCCGAGCTGCCACAATGACAAGGCTCGACCGCAGTATTCACGAGAGATGCGCTTTGATGAAATGTTTGGTACATATATATAAAAAAAAGAGGTGTTAAAAACTAGCTTTGTGTTTATTTTTGTTGTTGTTATTAAGGGACGGCCTCTCCTCCGTCTCCTTCTTTCCTCTGCCGCGTCTTAAAAAAAGGTTTAAAAAATATTATTTACACAGTCCGTTAAAACTAAAACGTTGAGAACAAAGTCCAACTTCTGCAGCGAGGTCTTTCAGAGAGGGACTAAGTACAGAAAGTTAAATTTAAAGCGCTTAAAATCAGTACCTTCATTCTATTATCGCACCATGGTAGGAAGCACTTGAGGCTGTTTTATTCTCATGGTGTAAGGTGGACAAGAAAACAAATTCAGGGCTAAGGGCTAGAAAAACAGCAATTAAAATGTCCTGACTTTATGATTATTCATTATGAATTGTAACCTATTATATGTGTTCATTATTTATCACGCCTATGAAATATTAAAGCATTATTGCTCTCTTTAGTTATGGTTTAATTGAATGTATATCGCTAAATTTTGATTTAAAGCTTTCGTGACTGCAGGGATTCATATTCATGGTTCTTTCGGTAAAGTCACGTAGAAGGGAAACAATATATTTATATTTTTTTATTATTTTATTGTTTCCCTTCTACGTGACTTTACCGAAATAACCAAGAATATGTATATCTCTATTCTTGGTTCTTTCGGTAAAGTCACGTAGAAGGGAAACAATAAAATAATAAAAATATAAAACAATAAAATTCTCACGACGTTTCGACTGCAACACAAGCAATCATCATCAGGTGTGACAACCACAGCAAGAAAATTAAAAAAGTGGCGGTTTTTTAATCGTTAGCACCACGGAGAGCGATTTGGCAGTTATTCAGATGGACGAGTCCATCTATGTTTGGAAAAGAGGAGGGGGGGGGGACGAAAATAATGGATGCAGTCTAAAATCCACCGTAAGCGTGAACAATCAATTAAGACTCGAAATGGTTGATCATATCCTTCCAATGATTGCTAAGCCAGAATCCATCTTCTCAGTTGAAATTGTCTCTGTGTTTATATATGTGGATAGCCTCATGAACGAATCTCTCATGGTAGCCAGATGGCTTGCAAAGAACCTCTGTCTTGGAGAAGTCAATGTCATGTGAGCCTACTGAGACATTCGTTCATGAGGCTATCCACATATATAAACACAGAGACAATTTCAATAGAGAAGATAGATTCTGGCTTAGCAATCATTGGAAGGATTTGATAAACCATTTGGGGTCTTAATTGATTGTTCATGCTTACGGTGGATTTCAGACCGCATCCATTATTTTCGTCGCCCTCCTCCTCTTTTCCGAACATAAATGGACTCGTCCATCTGAATAACTGCCAAATCGCTCTCCGTGGTGCTAACGTTAAAAAAACCGCCACTTTTTTTTTCAAATTTTCTTGCTGTGGTTTTCACACCTGATGATGATTGCTTGTGTTGCAGTCGAAACGTCGTGAGAATTTTATTGTTTTATATTTTTATTATTTTATCGTTTCCCTTCTACGTTACTTTACCGAAAGAACCAAGAATATGAATCCCTGCAGTCACGAAAGCTTTACATCAAAATGTATATCTCTAGGTTATAATTTCCATGTTGGTCTTCCTTGCAAATAAGACCTTTAGTCTCAAAGGGTTCTCACTTGATTATAAAGAAATCACGTTGTTCATTATAGGAAAAAGTGATTCAGTCTTAGTTTAAGCTTCGACATCCTCTATAATTACATTGCTGCCAGCGTCGCCTCACGCGATGGAGGCATTCCCGATCGGAACTCGGCGGTGGCAAGCAGTCGCACAGACTTGCGCCAAAAGAACAGCCGTGGAAGGTGGCGTCATAGGACTACTTCTGAAGTCACATCGTGAGACCTCTCTATCCACACTAGCGCTGCGCCTTTCAAGGCCTTGCAAAGAAGGGGGGGGGGGGGGGGGCGGGAGTCTTAACTAGCGCCATTAACCTAACCATAAACGACGAGCAGCAGAAGGAGCAGCGGCGCTCGGCTTGAGAATAAACCCATGTGCACCTGTGCAGGCGTAGCTCGTTGTTCCTCGCAAACAACCGTTAGGGTCCGATCTACAGTTACACGCCGTTCGTTTAATAATTCAATTAGTTTGTCGGCTTTGTGTGTTGGGGGGCCACTCTGACCCTGCTCGCATTGTGTCCAAAGGGGGGACACCTCAGGTGCTCCCTCCTCCTCTTCCGCTCGCCGTGGTTCCCCGGGAGCGCGTCGCGTCATCGCCTGCGTGCATGCCTCCATTGCAGGGCAATCATATCTGGTTGAATATTTCCCGGCTCTCCGATGGCCACGCGATGGGGTGCAGTGGTGGGCGAGATGTTAACTACCTCGCCGACCTTGATCCCTGTATTCTTGGAGTTTGCATCTCTCTTCCAGTGGCCATGTGGCTTTTTTTCCTCCGGGTCCTCAGATTTTCCCCTCCACATTTAGAAACGTATTGTGTGTTTAACTTTGTTTGCACCAAACGCAGCCAACCATGCCAATCGGAGGTGCGCGGGAAGGACAACAACAACGCGTTCAGGGTATTTCGCTGTCATACATTTCCACATAAGCCACTTCATTGAGCAATTATTTGTGGCGAGGCCCTTCTGAAAAAAAGGAACATGAGCTCACTGGGTCTTTATGAGACCTCCTTTGCCAGTAACAAGATATAGGAATAGGTTTTACCCTTTTAACTGGCACAAAAACTGACACCTTTATTCAAGGCATCATGTTTGCAATAACCACAACACAAGCAGTCAAAATGCAAACAAAAAAGACAACTCTGATAATAATATGCACTGTCCTTGAATTTGATTGATCCACACCCGAGACGGCTTTTCTTAGAGCCTAGTCTCCATTGGCGTCTTCTGGTCCAACACCAATGGAGACTAGGCTCTAAGAAAAGCCGTCTCGGGTGTGGACCAATCAAATTCAAGGACAGTGCATATTATTATTATTATCAGAGTTGTCTTTTTTCTTTGCATTTTGACTGCTTGTGTTGTGGTTATTGCAAACATGATGCCTTGAATAAAGGTGTCAGTTTTTGTGCCAGTTAAAAGGGTAAAACCTATTCCTATATCTTGTTACTGGCAAAGGAGGTCTCATAATGTAAATGCTCACCCCGAGCCCTCAATACTCTGATTGTGCGCTGTTTTTGAGTTGTACGCCTTTTGGCGTCTTCTCGTTTAACACCAATGGAGACTAGGCTCTAAGAAAAGCCGTCTCGGGTGTGGACCAATCAAATTCAAGGACAGTGCATATCATTATCAGAGTTGTCTTTATTGTTTGCATTTTGACTGCTTGTGTTGTGGTTATTGCAAACATGATGCCTTGAATAAAGGTGTCAGTTGTTGTGCCAGTTAAAAGGGTAAAACCTATTCCTCACTGGGTCTTCCCTAGTAACATAAAAAAAAAAGTTTAATGCTTGCATTCCTCGAATGTGGTTCGCCCGCTTCGGCAATATATTCCGGGTCGCTGCTCGCCTACAGGTGGCACGTGACTCGTCGTAGCCACGGTTAAAGGTGAGAGGCACACTTGATGTGGTGTGCTGGGCGCGAAAACACTTTGTCCTGTTGGGTCTGTCGAGGCCCCGCTTTGTGCCTTCATGGTTTCCAGAAGCCAACATTATTCGTGTTTTTTTTTTCCTTTTCCCCACGCTTTCTTTCCTCTAGCGATGCGGAGAGACTCGTTGGCTGAATTGAAGCCCCCCGGGGCCCTAGACTTGGGGGGGATCTGACGGAGTGCCCTGTGAATCGCGCCAAGCGGTTTGCGAGCGTTACGTGTTCGCGCGGACCGATGGGCAACGTACAGGCGCGTGAGGCTGGCGAGTCCCACAAACGTCTCCGAGCTCAGGCAGCCGATCCTGTTGTTCGAAAGATCCCTGCAGGAAAAAAGGAAAAAAAAGAAATTGCCGGCAAAAAAGTTATTTTTATTTTTGTTTTGTCTCGAGCCAATCGGTGTCCGCGTGTGTAGCGCTTGCGGTGTATTCGTCATGCCGTGCGCTATCCGGCAGTTGAGTCGCGGGAGAAGAGCAGACATACGTTTGTGGTATTGGTATAAAATTTAAAATAATAATAATAATGCTATTTGTTTACCCAATACATTTTTACTGAATCTCAAGACTCGTGTTCTGCACTAAGGATCCTTAAATGATAATTTGACTTCATGTGGGAGGGAAAGGAGTGTGCCCTCCCTGAGTGAACTCACCAAGCAAGCATACGAGAGGGTAATACTCAAGAGGTAGATTTTTTTTTTTAATAATCCATTACTGAGCTGGAATATCCAGGCAGCTCGCTTGCGACCGCATCATCGCGAGCTCGCAAAGAGGCACAAACCCAACAAATGTAAGCAGCCGTGTGTGATTTGCATCGTCTTCTCCAGGTACTCACAGTCGCTTGAGCTCGGACAATCCGAGAAAAGCCCCCGGCTCGATCGTGCTGATGAGATTGTTCTTGAGGTCCCTGAAAACAAGAACGTGGAAGAGGACACAGCCACGCACTCGTCACACACCGACAGCGAGCTGCCTCACCGGGCCGGGGTTGGAGATCACAACAAGCAGTTACCCGTGTACATTGTTGATGAGCTGAGTCTGTTTTTTTTTTTTAATAAATGGGTCGTAACGATTAAACCCCAATCGCCTCCCCAATTCCCGTGGTTCAATGATCTGGGACATAGCTGGGCAGCTGCGGTGGCTATGCACGTGGCCTGTAATCCAGCACTGTACAGGCAGCAGCGAGGGGTTGGTTGATCACCGCACTCGTGGGTGTCGAGGATCTGCTGTACGCTTGTTCACCAAGAGAAGACGGTACAACAATGTGTGGAATAATATCGCCTGCCCCTTCTCTATGGGATCGAGCGTTGCCTTCTCCCACGTCTGGGTGCTCCAGTATACGCCCGCAACGTAGGAACGCTCATTGATTGGCTGAAAACATCTTAATATGCATAGGACTGTAGAGTTTGGGTATTTTTTGGCAGCGCTGGCTCAACCACCCTGGCTGCTTTCCAGTTCGCCTGTGGTTCCTCGGCGACTGTCAGATGCAATTCATATAACCGAAGCGATATAAAACACTAAACATTATTATCACATCATATAATGAATCATCAGGAATGCCAGGCTGTGATTCTGGTCATGAATATATTCAGGAAGACAACATTGAAACAGCTTTCATTTTGTAGCTACCACATCACGAGACTGTGACGTGTGGCGATGGCTCGGAGATGCCTTGATTCCAGCAGTAGATAGATCATGGGAGACGACGACGATGATGATGATATTGTTCCTTTAAGGGGCTGTGGTAAACTCGACTCGCCCACGCTGCATTAACGCTGCCGATGAACCCGAGATGCTCAAACCACGTGACGCGTCAATCCCCGCGCGACGCAGAATTGACTTTAAGACACGACCTCTCAAAGAAAGCACCGCAACCTTTCCAAAAAGCACATTTCGAAGCCCTTATCAAAATAAGTGAGTACAACTGTGAAGAACCGCGATTAAAAAAGATAAAAGGGCTCAGCGCTAGTTTGTTCTACGAGGCATGCGCTTAAATTGTGTTTCAGGTTTCAAGGACAGGTTTTTTTGCATGCGGGGGAGGGGGGTGTGTTGAGAAAGTAGGTGAATTCCTGCCGTGTGGATTATACCACGGGGGCTTTAATTTCAAAGACGTCACGTACGATCAATGGGCCAACAATGATACGTGTACGCAATTGCTCGAAATCCCGCCGTTATTTTCTTCGTTTGTAAACCCGCGACACTTCCAGCGACGCCAACTCGCGCCTCCTCGCTCAAGGGCTCGCCTCTGCAACGGTCGTGCAGCGAGATCCCAGGGAACCCTCAGCCCCCCACCCAGTGGCTTGACCAGCAAGCCCTCCCTGTCCCACCACATGACCCCCTTCCACGGATCACACATACATCACCCCACTCAGTCAGATTAACATCAATATTTTTCCCCTCCCCTTTCATTCGGCCTTCCAATGCCTCCCTCTCCATCTGGTTTGGAAACCTTTTTTGTCGTTGTAAAAAAACAGAAAGTAAGGTACAGGGGCATGCCCTGAAATTTCACGTCACACGGTACTGTTGGCGGAAAGACCCTTCCTCCTAGAGAGGGTATATGGCTTACTTTTTCACACCGGCCAGATATCTTGCAAGAGGTGTAAAGTACCCACACTTTACCCCGCCCGGCACGAGCTGTCGATCGACCGACCGCGGTGAATCCATTGTGCACTGCTGCGTTGACTGAGGCGCCGGCAGTGATAGGCGAGGTGGTGGATTGAAGAAAACTTGCACCATCGCCTCAACTGACATGCAGGGAAATCGAGCCCAGGATCCCAGCGTGCTATGACACCACGGAAACCATCCAATGGAAAAATAAAGTTATTTTTTATTTATCTGGGAAAGCCTCGCCGAGAGTCTCAAGCCTCTCACTCATTTGGACGCTTGGTCAATTATTTTTGAAAAGAGTGTTTTTCTTTTCTCATGGAAGGAAACCAAGAGCACCGGAGAAAGCTTGTGCATACAGAGGGATACGTTTAAGTGAAGTCGAAGTTGGTTTGTAACACGAATGACCCCCGTTTATTCAGTTGCCCGGCTATTTCACAAGGGAGATCCGTGGTGCGTGGGCACAGCAGCAGCAACAACAAAAACACAAAAATATTGCAGAGAGTTAGTGCAGGGTCCTCAAGGAATATCGCACGACTAACAAACGAGAGTAATAAACAGCTGCAAACGAAATACGCGCAAATGAAAATAAAATACGTATGAGAGCAAGACGTGCCGATACAACGTTAGGTGTCGGTGCAAATAAAGCTCCGTGTTTTGGTTTGATGAGTAAATAATGAGGGAGAGTCCCGGGAGGGATCCATGCGGTAGATGAGAGCAGCAAGCGATACCATTCATAAAGCTCACAGAGACGGGTGCACAAACACATTCGCTGGACTGCTGGTCTCTGGCCAATTCTCAGGTCCCACGGGTTTGGGAATTTTACAAACCTGAGCCTCTTCTAGTCCAGGCTCAACACAGTCCTCTCCGCTGCCTGTGACTGTCCCTCCCCATCTATCCGTGAATCCAATTAGACCTCACTTGAAATACATACTTCGTTTAAGGAGGGCCCTGCGATTGGGATGTTTGGCCAACATAAACTGGCAGCTATATGAATCCGCATTGTATCGCACTGTAACATTTGCCTTGACTTCGCCGGACCATCGGTGTAAACCCACGCTCCTCTGTGCCTCTTGCCTCTCCTCCACGCCCTCTCTCCTCAGCCCTCACCCCTCAACATTCCTTCCCCCTTCTTCGTTCTCGGCCGCACTCCCGCCCATCCACCCCTCGACTGCCTGCCCTCTTCATCCTCCATAAATATCCTTCCCATAACTGCCCTCGATTCCATCTGTGTTTCCTTCCGCCCCCCTGCCCCTCTTCGCTTTGACTCAATCAGCTCTCCTCCTGCTCCACCTCCTCTCCTCCCACCACTGCCCTTGAAGTCATCTTCAGCAGAGTCTCGAATGCTGCGCTCATGAATCTGGAGCCAGAGCCGGCGCAGAACGCCCCACGCACACCAAGACGCGAGCGCCCTCCACACCGCGTACTCGCCGAATCCTCGAACTCATTGGAGCTAGGATCCCCTTAAGGACGCCACCAAACCCTCAGCGGACCCCCATTATAGTTCGACAGCGGTGCCGTAGAGCCGTAAACGGCAGTAGTGAGATAGCAAGGGCGGCAACGGGGGATGCAGTGCGGAGTTGACCTCGGCTCTCGTGGACACCTTTGGATGGATTCTCTCTGTGGGCCCCTTAACGACGCCGGCAGTCTCACACAGGGACTTGCAGACCCCCGACTTAGACCGATACGTCGCGCGACGCTCTGCGGAAACAGCGGGGCGAAGTGTTGTTTTACGGAGAAAAAGCGGTCTGTCGTAGACAGAGGCAAACGGGAAGAATGCCTTTGAACCTGAACTTTAATATGGGGCAGGTTGCCGACAGCACGGATTACTGTGGGATAGGGAAGTTCCAGACCGTGGATGCAGCAGAGGAGAGTGAGAGAACCCCATCATCTGTGGCTGGCGCAGACCCTGGCCTGGGGACTAGTGGACGGGCAACAGCTTTGGCACAGGATGCATCTTTCATTTTATTATTCTTGTCTGGCTCGGGAGTTATTTTGATTTTAAGGACAAGTATTTGCTTCAAGAGGAGCGGCGTTTTGCCAGAACGTTCCGCTGATGCGGAATGTCCGAAAATACTTGTGTGTGCGCGTGTGCGCCTGCGAGCGCGTGTATTTTTTTTTCGCCCAGCGGCTGGAGCGTACAAATTCTAAGTTTTACGCTCTTGCGATAACACCGCCGACTCAACATCTCCGGCGTGACGCCGCGTCGAGGCAACGCTCGCGATGAAATTCTCAGCTCCGCGATAAAGCACGTGTTCGCCTGCCATTATTTTTGGGAGACCGTTTTGGCGAAACGTTTGTTCAACGAGGGAGCAAAAATATAAAAACTTCACGCTCGCAAGACCGTCTGCTTAAGTCGGGCCAGCTCTCAGCTGCGCCGTAACGAGGATCGCGGGTTTTTTTTCTCTTCCCGCGGCTCCACGCTCGGCGTCAAATTCCTTGAGCGTCAGGGGGACTGCCGCGCCTAGCGTGAATGTCCCCTGCGGACTGATCTGATTCAGCTGACACAATGCAAAGGAGGGGGGGGGGAGGGCAAGGGGGGCAGAGGTGGGTGGTGGTGGTGGTGGTGTAGGGAGAGGAGGGGGGTCCTCGTTCACGCCTGACACGCACGGACGGACTCATCCCGAAGCACGGATGGCTCACGTGACTGCTTACGCGAAACTATCAGAAATTTGTCGGATGCTGGCGTGTGGTGCGGACGGCTGTCGAGTGACCGCGCTTGCAAATTCAGAGGTCGCCGGTTCGATTCGATTCACCCCGCGCCCCCCCGCCCCCCCACGGGGGCGTGACAATTTGAAACGATGTGAAAGTTCTCTCCCCCATCGCCTCTGTCCATCCAGCGGTGCGAGTGAGTCGATGGGCAGGTTGCGTTTGGTGGGGCAAAGTGTGGATAACCAGTGCCGGATTAAGCTCGTGCGGGCCTGTAGCATATGTTATAAAGGGGCCCTAAATTAAAAAAAACACAAATATTAAAACACAAATTTTAAACTTGCATAGTAAATTGCATTTTTTCATGTGCTATACAGCCAGATAATATGACAAATCGCTAACCTTAAACACGAAGCCGTTCATAAAAGTTTAAGGCAGTATAGTACTATAGTAATAAAGCAAGTGCAGAATCACTGAACCGGAATTGGTAGCTTGAAAGCCTTTAGCGCGGGGCCCTTGAAAGTGCCGGGCCCGTAGCATATGTAGCTACTACATGTGTAGCTACTACATGTGTAGCTACTACATGTGTAGCTACTACATGTGTAGCTACTACATGTGTAGCTACTACATGTGTAGCTACTACATGTGTAGCTACTA